TGTGTGCATGTATGTATATGTATATATGTATATTTGTATATGTGTGTGTGTGTTGCACTGGTGCTGGCAGGCAGGAGATTTGAAAGCAAGTTTTGTGTTTCTCTTGGAGGAGCTCTGGCAGTACACTGTGAAGACTAGGAGAACTTGGCTTAATGTGGCCATTCAAAGAAGGAAGCAACTCCAGAAGGAGCCCTCCTTCTCTGGGCATGCTTACCACTTTTCTTCCAGAGATTTCATTACGTAGCCCTGGAGCATCAGCAGTGTGGTGGTGGTGATGTGGCGCATGTGGATGATTTCTTTGATTAAAGGAGCATCACATTGCAGCATCTCCTCTAAATGATAGACAGGGAGGGAGGGAGGGAGGGAAGGAAGGAAGGAGGGAGGGAGGCAACAAAGGAAAGAGGGAGGGAGAGGGAGAGAGGGAAGGAAGGAGGGAATGAGAAAGGGAGGAAAGAAGGGAGGGAGGGAAGAAGGAAGAGAGGGAAAAAGGGAGGAAAGGAGGGAGGGAGGGAGGGAGGGAGGGAGGGAGGGAGAGAGGAAGAGCGTCATTTCTGTCTGCTGCTTGGTGGTTCACATGCAAGTTTCAGGACCCTCTGTTCTCACTCTGGCCTCACTCTGAGCCTTCTACAATTTGAAGATTTCTAAAGAATATTTCAAATATTATGGGAAATTATTTTTGTCGGCAAAATACTATCCTTCTTAGTTCTATTTCAAAAATAAAAGCTTAAAGGGAAATTAAATCTTAAAATTTAAACTCATTTCTGTAGCTGGGGTGAAGTTTTCCAGTTTAGGGGGTGACTTAGGAGGAAAGGAGTAAAACACAGTCTTTGGGTGCAGAAGGAGAGCCCAAGACACAAATATCAACTCAGGGACAGATTCACAAGACTGCATACTGGCAACATGGTGCAGCATGGCGCTCCTTGTGTTCAGAGGTAGGAAGGTTTGTTAATGAGACCTGAAAATGCAGCTGAGGAACATCTGGGCGCTCCTTTCTTTTTGAGACCCCCCTCTCCAATAACTACATATAGAACTCACACTGAAAATTAGCACATAAATATTTTTGATATGTGGCAATGCATTATGATAAAAATATCTCTTCCATTCTACAAGACAGGACCTTTGACTGAACCACACAGTCAGTCAACAATGCACCTTGAAGTCACTTAAGGCTTCAGACAACTAGTGTTGTGTACTCAGGCCGTGAACTTGCCCTTAAGAGAACACTGTAATAACTAACCTTCCTTGCCTTAGATTTCTCATGCAATTAATTTTAACAAGGGAAGCTAATACATAGGTGCAATTGTAAAAACCCCAAAGATCCTGTACTATGTGCTATATGATACTATACCTGTAGTGCCCCATGCCACTGCAGGTCGGTACGCCTTCGTGAGCAGGGACCTAAGCTTGGAGACTTAAAAACGCAGAGACAGACACACAGAGAAAGACAGAGACATGGGTCACTCTTGATACAAGAGTGCCAAAGCCCAGTTTATTGTGCTCAGGGGAAATTTATATAAGGATCCTTAGCCATGCATGCCCAGCTCCTGGGATATTTCAGCTACAGGCCCATCAGCCTGCCGTTAAGGTCTCGTGCTCAGAGCGGCTGCAGGCACAGGTGTTTTGCTCAGTTCACTCCAGCAGGCAAAGGGTCTGAGGACGTCAAGGGGCCAAGGGTCTGCAGCTCCCAACATGCAATCTTAAATGTGTACTCTTCCAAGTCCCTGTCCCAAGATTAATGCACACATGTATGTATGATATGATAATCATTGCCTGAGGACAGAAAAACAGGACCAAACCAGCTTATGAAATGAATGCCCACCATAAATGCTGGAGCAATGTATGGATATTGCTTGACAGCTTTGGATTGTTTGTTATCTGGGTCAGATGGGCTCAGTTAGAATCAGTGACTCCATCCCTTGGGTTAAACTTTTCTGGCTGGGTGGTGGTGGCACACACCTTTAATCCCAGCCCTCGGGAGGCAGAGGCAGGTGGATCTCTATAAGTTTGAGGCCAGCCTGGATGACAGAGCTAGTTCCAGGATAGGCACCAAAGCTACAGAGAATCCCTGTCTCGAAAAAAAAAAAATCTGTAATGTATCGCTTCCTTCCCCCACGTGGTGTCTTCTGTGCTGTCCAATAAGAAAGAGCAAAGCCCCTTGCTAGGGACACACACAAGAACACACAGAGACACAGGAACAGATTCACAAGACAGCATGTAGGCAGGCACAGATTCAGACTCATATGGACAGACAGAAGACAATGGGAGGCACAGGGAGAAATTAAAGAATTCAAATCTGGGCTTCCTTTTAAGTGACGCCAAGGGTTAGTGCTTTATAATTTCTTCTAATTCCTCAAATGTGCCACCAGTGCAATATCGGGGATTCTGAGTTCATTATTACAACATTCGAATTGCACCTACAAACTGTGACATGCTGGGCTGGGGCATGTCTGTAAATCCTATCACATGGCAGGCACAAGTAGGAGGTGTCAGCGTTTTAGACCAGTCGGGGCTACATAGTGAGTTTCAGGCCAGTCTGGAATATGTGCTGAGACCCTATTTCGAAACAAATGAACTAGAGAGATTTGTTAACTTTGAACTTTTTCTATTTTTGTACTTATACCCTTGTCTTAGATAACTATAAACAAAACCAAAGCAAGCAAACTAACAGAAAACAGCAAACAAACAAGCCCCCTCCCCCACCTACACAAGCTCCACCTACTCCTCTGAGACAGGCAGAAAGCCCAGCTCTGCGGCCTTGCTGCAGCTTGTCGGCCTCCAGGGGGGCACTTGTGCACCCTCTTTTGCTAGGGCTGCAAGCTAATACTTTATTTGTTGCCACCAGCTAAGAGGAATTTCCATGGGTCAAGCTTAACACCACATTGAACAGGAAGATGAGACGGTTCATGAACGGTTCATGGACGGTTCCAGACAGACCGTTCTCTGCCCCAGCTCAACTTTTCACATCTGGGCACGGAGAACAACACCCGTTTGCTTAGAGTTAGCCCCATGCCAGTTGATTTCATGATCGAGTAATTTGAATTCGTGTTAAAGTTCCACAAATCAGCTAAGAATACTTCAAAGTATTCTATTTTCTTTGTTTAGAAAACACAGCTCTTTGTCCCTTCGATTTTTAGTATGAAGTGAAATAAATGAGCATGTATGTGTCTGTATCTCACACGTGGCTCCTTTTCCCAATATTATGGCTTTGGGCTTAATATTGTTCTCTGCATTCATTCTCACAGTCTTAATATTGCTCCCATGGAGGGACTCCCCTGCTCTGCTCTCTTGAGGTTTGACTGGAGCCAGGCTATTTCCCAGACTTTTCCTCCCAAGAAACTGAAGCGGGAATCCGGAGGAAAAGGCGTACCGGGAGGGACCTTGCCGTGGAAGTAAGTCTTGGTTATATTTTCCAAAGCGGCCTTGTAAGTCTTTTCATTGGTCTCCATCATGATCTTCTGCACGGCTATCAGGAACAGCAGTGGGTTTTCAGCCTTCCGGTCTCTGAGGAACGCCCGGAAGCACTCCAGGTGTTGAGAATTTAGGAGGATTTCTGTCAAGTTCCTGGAAAACAGAGCCCCGTTGGTAGAGGGGAAGGATAATGACCGTGGCGACTATTCTGAGTAGGGAAAGGAGCCGGGCACAGGCCACAGTGTCTCCTCTAGGCCTGTGAGATCCGCCTGCCTTTGCCTCCCGGTGCTGGGATTAAACATGCGCCAACTGCGGGCAGCTCCTTGAACGGAGTTAGCTCTGATGTTTCCCACATGGTCCTCTTTCCTTTCCTCCCAGTCTAAGTAGGCTGGACTCCCTCTGGGGTTTCATCGTCACTGACTTGGTGCACCTGCATCTCTATTTGCTCCACTCGCCAATTTTAATTGACCATTTAATCTCACTTTATGTCACAGTTATCATTCAAAGCCCTCTGCATCTTTTGACCAAGTTATCCATCTATTTTATGTACATATGCCATTTTGTTGGATATTAGCTATAGGTTTTTGATCGATATCCTTGTCCCTGTTTTCTTATGATGCCTCTTTGGAAACTCGGGATGATTGACATTGGCCTCATAGGATAAGTGAGAGTTACGTCTATTTTCTCGAAGAGCGACTGTAGTGTTGGTACTGTCTTTGCTTTAAATACCCCACTGAGTTGTCCAGAGGTATTACCCAGGCTCTGTTATATGAAAGATATTAAATTGTTAAACACACACCACTATTTTTGAGACTGGGTCAAACTGCGTGGCTGGCCTGGAACTTGCTTTGTAGACCAGGCTGGGCTTGAGCTCCCAAAGATCTACCTGCTTTTGCCTCCCAAATGCTGAGATTAAAGACGTGTGCCATCACACCAAGCAAAACACTACTTTTTGATGCTGTTCAGATTTTAATCACTACTTTTTTTGGATTTTTTAATTTTGTTGTTGTTTCTATAGATTTGCCAATGCTTTCAACTTGCCTTTGAGTCTGATTTTAGAAATTTGGGCATTTCTAGAGGTATAGTACATTAAGTTGTTGAATCTGATCCTTCATTTTTTAACAATCTCAATTTCTGTACAGTTCTCCTTATCATTTTTAAACAAATTTTTTAAACAAAATTTAAATTATATTTATTTTGTGGGTTTGTATATTTGTGTGTTTGTGTCTGTCTTTCTCCCTATTTTGTATGTTTTGTGGTATACATGTGGAAGCCAAAGGATAACTTATTGGGGTTTGGCTCCTGCTACAGTGTGGGTCCTACTCCTTTAGACCAGATAATGTCTCTTGAGCCATCTTCCAGTTCCCTGACTCCTCCTCCAGATTAAGTCTGCTGTTTCTGTCTAGCAAGATTTCATCCAGTTGTTTCGCTTTTTCTACCCCAGCTCTGAATTTAGTTGTTTTATAATTGGTCTCATTATTGATTTTCTCTAGTTGATTAATGATTGTTATCACACATTCCTTCAGTTCTTTAAACATAATTTCCTTTAGTCTGTTGAAAAGTTTCTTAGATGTTTTGACCATGTTCGAATGGGATCTGCTGCCTGCCCCACATACATCTGTGCTTCCCTGGCTGTTCCAGTGGAGGTGGAGCCCACTCCCTCTTGCTCTTCATTTTCCTCGAGTTGTTGCTGTTGATGGTTTTATTTGCTTTTCTCTAGTTTATTTTTCTCTAACTGACTCACAGGGTTGAATTCTACAGAGCATTGCTCCCCACAGTGTGTTTCTACAAGGTGCTGCTCTGCTATTTCTTAAAGTTTTTTTTTCATTCTCTTTATTTTATTTTAAATGTTATAATAAAAGTGATGGAAATAAAAAAAAAATCACACACTGAAATTCACCAGACCCTTCGAAGACTGTATATCACAGTTCAAATGGTAATTCAAAATGGAAGCTGTGGAGTTTCACATTGCATTTTAAACTTTTGCTATTGAATATAATTTTGTGCACTTACAAATCACAGAAATATTTTAAAGGATATATTCATTGGTGCTTTATATGTATGAGTGTTTTGCCTGCTTGTCTGTGTAACGCCTGTGTGTCTTGTACCAGTAAAAACCAGAACAAGGTGTCGGAGCCCTGAGACTAGTGGTTGTGAGCATCACAAAGGTGTTAGGTACTGAACTTGCATCCTCTGCAAAAGCAACAAATTCTCTTAACCGCTGAGCCGTCTCTGCAGGCACTGTTCTTTTTGTTTTTAATTTTAACTTTAAGGCCTTATGGAAAGTCAAGAAAAGTAGCTAACAAGGCCCATCTTTGTTCTGTCTGGGACTGCAAACCTATACATGATATCATCTCTGTGCCGTTGTAACACTACATGCGTCTTAGGAATTCTTCTTACAGCCTAACTTTTTTAAAATCTGTACTCAAAATATTTCTTTCTCTTTCGGCTGTACCCCCATGGGAATCACACAAAACTTGATCACAACACTTCAAAGTCAGCTTGAGTTCTTATTTGTCTTAGATTAAGAGCAAGAACTACTGGGTATTATGGCAAAAGCTTTTAATCCCAGCACTGGGGAGGCAGAGGCAGGTGGATCTCTGAGTTCAAGGCCAGCCTGGTTTGCATAATGAGTTGAGTTCCAGAAGAGTCAGAGCTACATAAGACCCTGTCTTGAGAAACCAAAAAAAACCAAACAAACAACAAGTAGAAAGTGACAAAAATTGTCTTATTAGTATGAGAGGTATTATATAGACAGCATTATCATCTGTATCATTAGAATGGCCGAGACTAGCGTATGATCAATAATAGCTCACACTGAATGGGGGTTAGAGATAAGCTTTGGAGACCTGCAACTGTGGTGTCTCTGACCCTGGCTATGGTCTAAAGTCATGCTGTGTGACTGATACGATTTAGAAAAGACTTGGATTATCCATGGTCAATGAGGTTGGAACTGTTTCTGTGGCCTGAGTAGAGAACAGTGATGCGCACGGACTAGAGCAGCAAGAGGAATGGTGATTGCCTTCCGGGAAACAGTTTCTATCATCCAAATTTAGTCTGAGTGTTCGCAACCTCGGGTGAATGCTACAGTAACAGAAGAATTCCTGTGGGCATTTTTTTTTCTATACAAAATATTTCCCCAGAGATTTGATTGTCTCTTTGTATACTATTATATTTTCATAATCTACAGAAGAACTTTTCTTGTAGTTAGCAATTAGAAAAAAAATGGAATAAAATAAACAAATTGGCCTTAGAGAAAATTAGCCCAGAAAGAAGGAATCATGCCAAAAGTACAAAGCACTAAAAAGTAACATGTAGAATTGGTGGCGACCTCTAGGGATGCAGGCTCAGAGCAGGGAATTATAGCAGATGTAACACTTGGGGAACTTTTCATGTCTAAGTGACATTTGTGATAAGGGTGCTTTGGGATAATGCTCTTGTACCCTGTAAAGATTTGTCACTTGTATTGGTTTAATAAAACACTAATTGGCCAGTAGCCAGGCAGAAAGCAGAGCAACCAGACTAGGAGAATTCCAGGAAAAGGAAAGGCTCAGTCTGCAGTCATCAACCAGACACAGAGGAAACAAGATAAAAAATATTGCACTGAGAAAAGGTACCAAGCCACCTGGCTAAATATAGATAAGAATAATGGGCTAATTTAAGTTGCAAGAACAAGTTAATAATAAGCCTGAGCTAATAGGCCAACCAGTTTATAATTAATATAAGCCTCTCTGTGTTTTGTTGGGACTGAACAGCTGCGGGACCAGGCAGGAGAGAAACTTATATCTACAAAGGGAATTGGAAAGAAAGACAATTGTTGCCTCTGCAGGAAATGTCATAGACTCTTCTCCCAGTGGAGACAGATTCTTAGAAAGATTGGAAAGTGGAGCCACAGGAAGGAAGAGACCAGTCATGAGGCCACCTTAGTAGTGTGGAGCCTAACATTCCTAAATGAATTGAGCTACATGTGCTATTGACAGCAGTGAAAGATGAGAGGCAGTGTACATGCCTAGAGGAAGGATAGGACTGAACAAAACATGCTTCGTCCACAGCGTGGAAGTCAGTAGCTCTAAGCAGGCTAATGTAGAAGGGTGTCCATGACAGTGATAGTTAATGTGGAGACTCACTTTGGTCAAAATATTCAGAACAAGCCACTGGTGAGTGCTTAGCCCGAAATGGGTCACCTACATCAATCCTCTCCAAGGCTCAGGGAACATCTCAGAAGAGAAGACAGAAAGAATGTGGGAGGTGCAGGATGAGGAATGCTGTGAAGTGCTGGGATTTGAACACGACGGGGCTGTTGTGTCTGTGCACTCACAGAAAAATTTTGATGAGAAGGGAATAATCTATATTATGGATATTATATATACCATATATATTTGGTATGATTATATATACAAACAAAATTTTTAAAAAGTTTTCTGTAGTAATTAAAGTTTTAAGAAGTTATTTGGTAGCACATAAATAAGCAACGTAACATGCAGAGTGTCCTGTCCATATGCATACCAGCTACAGAAAAAGGTCTGGGACCTCCACACAGAAAAGAAGTCTGTGCCTAAAGATGTTGCTATAACTGTATCCCCCATCTTACCTTGGTCTCATGGAAGGCTTCCTTGTGACAGCTTTTCTAGCAAAGGATGTTTTCCGTTGTGAGGATGCGTGTTTTGGCTGCTTAATAATTTCCACTGTAAAGCCTGAAAAAGACCACAAATTTAGGTAACAATATTTTATAAAGCAAGAGTGAGGAGGGACGTTTATCAGGCATTGACTACAACTATTGTGTCCGGTCATTGAACACCTGGACATTGTCATCAGGTCAAAGTGTGTTACTCATGAATGTTGGCCATCAGGGATAGAGCCTACCTTCCTTGGAGACACTGGCCATCAGGCCTTCAGTCCACCTTCCTTAGAGACGTGGACCATCATGCCTAGAGCCTACCTTCCTTAGAGACTGCTGAGACCAAGTCCACTATTCTTCGAGGTACATCGCTGAAGATGAGAGCCACCTTCCTTCCAATCTGATTCTTTCATTCAGCCACAATGCATGTGCTCTCTCTTTGTTGACACCTTGGATGTCCTCTCAGAAACGTTCCACGTGTCCTTTGAAAGTTTTACTTTGTAATCCTTGAACTTACTGACTGTTAACCTCAACTTTAAGAAGCTCCACTCAACTTCTTGCTTGAACTAAAACCATTTTCTTTCCAAGGATCTGACATTGCGATGGTATTCTGGCAATCACACACAATTCAGAACAGGTGTCTTGCTCTGTGGTGCACTTTAGAACATTATTCTGAGAACTGCATTTAATGTTTTTGAGAAAGAATAGATTCCATGGATTTCACCATTATCAAAACCCCTTGGGGGTTTGGGATGTCATTTAGTTGACAAAATGTTTCCCTAGCATTCATGAAGACCTGGGCTCAATCGCTAGCACATGTGATGTTCTTGCCCATAATTCTAGCATTTGCAAAGTAGAGCAGGAGATTGGAAATTCAAGGTCATTGTTAATTACAAATCCAGTCTGAGGATAACCTTGACAAACTAAAACCCTTTAAATTTATAGAAGAAAAACACTGACTATAAAATCACCAAAGGTAGGAAGAGAGTCATCTCATTGCTCAAGATCAGAATATGACCCAGTTATACAGTCACTGACTTAAGATGCATATTAAATAGAATGTGCACTTGCAGGGTATTTTGTGTGATTTAATTATATGTCTGATTGGCAGCATACAACAATGAGTGAAAGCCATAGATATATACATTGGTTCTAAATAAATGTAACTGGGTTGATTTAAAAAATGAAATCCAGACTGTTGAAGTCTTGATATAAAAGAAAAAGAAAATCCATCAAGTTCCAAAAACAAAATCCTTCCTAGGACCAAACACTTAAAATGTTGGGTAAAAAAAAAATAACATCTCAAAGTCATAAATAAGCCAATAAAAAATTCAGTTAAAATATGAAGATTAGAGAAAAGATGGTGAAAACAGGAAGATTATGTTGAAATAATAGTTTTCAATATTTAAGCCACAGTGAACATAAACAAAAGCTCAGGACTTGAAAAATTAGAAAGACTTCCCACCTTATATTTTTCTTAAGGTAGCTGGCAATTTTGTAAATGCCAGAAACTTCAGAAACTGGAAGACTCTTCCTTGTAGGCGTGACTCGTTCCTCGAGTTCCTGCTTTGGTTCTACCTGGATTGAAAGTTCAAGAACCTTTTTCTCCTTTAGAGCTGCTCCTGTCAGGTATTTTATCATGACGGCTGGAAAGAAAACTGAACCATCTCTAGAAAGGTGATATACAGTCAGTGCTGTTGCTTGGATATCCAGAATGTCTTCATGGACTTGTCGTGGAATATTATTTTAAGGCATGTTACATTTGTTTATGCCGTGGAATACTTCTTTAATGATGCAAAGATGTATGTTGCATTCTTTTATTCTGCATTTGTTTATCTCTGTGGTGCTGGGTTACTTTGCCTGCCTAAAGCACCTGATTGGTCTAAAAAAGAGCTGATTGGCCAATAGCTGGGCAGGAGAAAGAATAAGGGGCGTGCAGGTAGAAAGAATAAGTAAGAGGATAAATCTGGGAAGAGAGGATTGGCGATCAAGGAGTAAGAAAAGGAGGAGGACATCAGGGACCAATCACCCAGCTACACAGCAAGTCACAGAGTAAGAAGTAAGAAAAGTGTACAGAAATAAAGATAAAAGTCCATAGGTAAAAGATAGATGAGATAATTTAAGAAAGGCTGGCTAGGAACTTGGAAATAACCTAGATGCCCTTCAGCCAAAGAATGGATAAAGAAAATGTGATACATTTACATAATGGAGTATTACTCAGTGGTTAAAAAACAACAACAACCAAAAAAACCTACGACATCTTTAAATTTGCAGGCAAATGGACAGATCTAGAAAAAAACATCTTGAATAAGGTAACCCACATGTAGAAAGACAAATATCACATGTAGTCACTCATAAGAGGCTACAAATATAATATTTACTCACTCATAAGTGGATACCAGACATAAAGCAAAGGATAATTAGCCTACAGTCCACAATCTCCGAGAAGCTAGACCCTCTTCCAGAAACAGGTGGAAGCAGATGCAGAGATCCACAACTGACCACTGGGCTGAACTCCTGGAGTACAAAAGAAAGTGAGGAAGGAGCAATAACATAAACAAAAGGGTCAAGACCATGAAGGGCGAAACCCACAAGATCAGCTGACCTGAACTAGTAGGAGATTCCAGACTAACAACTGGGGAACCTGCATAGAACCAAACTAGGCCCCTGAATAAAGGTGTCAATGGTGTAGCCAGGGCAGTATATGCAGTCACTGGCAATGGGACCAGGACCTAACTCTAACATATGAATTGACTTTGTGGAACCCATTCTCTGTGGAGAGATACCTTGTTCAGTCTAGGCATCAGGTGGGCAGGGGAGGTACTTGGGCTCCCTTCAGTGAGATGATGGGACAGACTTAATTGACTTCCCAGGGGAGGCCTTACCCTCACTGAGGAGTGGATGGGGGGCAGGGTAGGGAAAAGGTGAGGGGACAGGGGGAGAGGAGAAAGGGGGAACTGGGATTGGTATGCAAAAATAAACAAATCAATTAATTAATTAAAAAAAGAAAGGCTGGCTGGAAATAAGCCACGCTAAGGCCCGGCACTTATAAATAAGAGTAAGCCTCCAAGTGTGATTTGTTTGGGAGCTGGGTGGGGGGGCCCCAAGGAATAAAGAGCCAGAGAGCCAAAGAGTAAAGAGTAAAAACAACCAACTCCCCAGACTCTCATTAGGGAAGATACTCATTAGAATTAGTGTTTAGATGGAGTCCTGGACCAGGTCCAGGTCACACTGGGTCTACCGGGCCCACAGTCCTATATGAAAGCCATTTCTCCAGTTCCTAAAGCGTTTACACAGAATGGGGCTATTTGGTAATCAGCAGGTTAGCCATATCGCCTCTCTGGTCTGAGGAATGCTGTGAGAGCAAAAACGACCAATCAAAAACGACCTGGAGTATATCCTTCCTGTCCGGATGGTATTATCAGAACAAATACTGTAGCCTAAAACATTGACAGATAACCAGGGAAATGCTTCAAGAAACTTTTAAAACTTAAGTTATGGCTTTGTATTCTTTAAAAACAAAGATTTATCTTTATTTATGTATTATTACGTTTTGCCTGAATGGATGTATGGGCACCATGTGTGTGTAGGGCCCATTGAGGGGGATAGATGTGAAACAGTTGTGGGGGGCCACATAGGTGCTGGGGACAGAACCCAAGTTCTCTCCTAGAGTAGCAAGTGCTTTTCACCCCCTAGCCATCTCTCCAGCCCTGGCTTCATATTCTTAACAATTAAATTATGTAATAACTAGGAGTAAAATCAAAAACAAAAGCTAAAACCAAAAGGAGAAATGAGCCACAATGATTCAGATGGTCCATAGGCAGAAGGGCCACAGAGCTGGAGAATTCGGAACAGAAGCAGAAACTGGAGGATGTACCAAAATGCTGGCACAGTGTGAGGAGTCCACGTGGGTTGAGAAAGAATGTTCATACTAAAGGAAAGAAAGCAAGTCGACATGGACCAAACACTCTGCCTAAGTCAACAAGCTTAGGTAGCATGAACATGACAATCCCCTTAGGTGTGGGCCCATACAGGACGTCAGAAGCTGAGCAAACTGAGGATATCTGTGGTAAGGGATTATCGTATATGGGCTAAGAAAGTCCAGGCAAGATAAGGAGAGAGCCCACCCAGGGGCTAACAAAGCACCTAACAAAGATGAAGAATACACACATCCACATGAAGGGAGAGCTGGGTTGAAGGCCAGAGCCTGAGTGGTAGGAAGAGTGACCACATATGGTGATGGCCTAACACAGATTGTTAGATATGGGGAGTCAGAAAGACCTGAGAGGCCTCAGAGGTCCTCATGAAAGGACAAAGGCCGGTGCTGGGCTGGAGCCAGTGCCTTGTAGGAGTCAAGGTTACGGTTTCTGCAGACCCAATTCTTCCTCCTGGGCTATGGTCATCAGCCCTTCGACAGCTGCATCTGAGGTATCCCATATTCTCTTTGCTAACACTGTCTGACCTAGCTCCCTGCTGACCTTGGTCATTTTACCCCCTGCAAGTAATATGTACGAAACCCTGCTTCCCAGTAAACTTGCTTGGCATGGTCATCATGATGTGGGATTCCTCTCTGTATGCTGTGAATATGTTTTATTACCATTGGTTAATAAAGGAAGCTGCTTTGGCCAAAGGCTTAGAAGAATAAAGCCAGGTAGAAAATCAGAAGAGACAAAGAGAGAAAGAGAGAGAGAGAGAGAGAGAGAGAGAGAGAGAGAGAGAGAGAGAGGCAAAGCCAAAAAGATGCTGTGAACCTCCCGAAGGAGCAGGATATGTTGGAACCTTGCCAGTAGGCCACAGCCCCATGGCAATACACAGATTAATATGAATGGGTTTATTCAAGATGTAAGAGCTAGCTAGAAATATGCCTGAGTCATCGGCAGAACAGTGTTGTAATTAATATAGTTTCTGAGTGATTATTCGGGTCAGGGTGGCTGGGAAACAAAAGAGCAGTCTCCGCCTACTCAGCAGCTCATGCAAGGCATCCTGGTCCCTGCTGTACTTTATTTCTCATCCTTGGTGCTTCCCCTTGACACCTCACCTTTTGGGACCCTTATTCCTACCAGTTTATGTCAATTAGAGAGAACAGGATGAGGAAGGTTTTCCCTCAAAGGATGAACCTGAGGCAGCTGTGGAGTTCTAGCAAAGTAAGGAGTTGCTCAGGCATGGAGGTGCCAGGGCAAAGCACTGAAGACCAGAAGCGGGGAGACGGGCATTTGTGAGAATAGAGGCATTTGTAAGAATAGAGGGCATTTGTGAGAATAGAGTAGTGAAGACCGACTACTCACATGATGGGGCTATAAAAAATATAAGTGAATTTAAGATAATGGGAATCAGGCTTCTCACAATCAGAGAGGGTAAACATAAACATGGAAAAGGAGAAAAATAGAATGAGCCCAGAATTTGGGGACAGTAAGGTAAAGGGACAATTTTCATGCTGCTTTTTGGTACTCCTCAGCTTGACAAGGATACATCATCAAATGAAGCAGCAGCAGAACTCATGACGAAGTGTTTCGCAGATACATCAGGGATGACAGTCTAAGTTGTTCAGCCCTGCCTGGCAGGTTCTCCAAGTCCAGCAGAGGTACCAGCTAAAAGGGATGAGAGCCCAACAGGGGGAGCAGAGAAGGGGATGGAGAAACCCTCCTCTCGATACATATCAAATTGTATTGGGCTTAAAAACATTGGCTATAAACTGCCTATTATTAGAGTCCCTGAAGTCTGATCCAGATTGACAAAGTCAATTTGCTTCAGGTTTTAATTCTTGATTTTTTGGGGGAGAGGTGTTCAAAACAGGGTTTCTCTGTAGCTTTGGAGCCTGTCCTGAACTAGCTCTTGTAGACCAGGCTGGCCTCGAACTCATAGAGATCTGCCTGCCTGCCTCTGCCTCCCGAGTGCTGGGATTAAAGATGTGCACCACCACTGCCTGGCTCAGGTTTTTATTCTTTTCTCTTTGTATGGTTTGCTTCCCTGGATGACACCTGCAGGGACCCCCTCAAGTGATCTTAATTTTCATCATCTCCAATGATTTATAATTGCCTTTGATTTGCATCTCACCCTTTAGGACTCTGTAGGAGTGGGAACACATGGTGATTATCTCTGGAGTATTATTAATGTGGAAGGTGATGTATGCTGTAAATATGCTTTATTGCCATTGGTTAATGAAGAAACTGCTTTCGGCCAATGGCTTAACAGAGTAAAGCCAGACTGAAAGAGATATATATAGAGAGAGTAGGCAGAGTCAGGGAGAAGTCATGCAGCTGCCTGCAGGAGACAGATGCCTCCACCAGGGCCTACCGAACCTTGCTGGTAAGCCACAGTCACGTGGCCATACACAGATTAGTAGAAATGGTTTAATTTAGGATATAAGACTTAGCCAGAAATATGCTTAAGCTATTGACCAAACAGTATTGCAATTAATACAGATTTCTGTATGATTATTTCTGTTCTGGGCAGCCAGGAATGAACAAGCAGCCCCCGACAACTTAATATCTCCTTGCAAACAAGGTATGGTTCCTCTTTTGGCTTAGTACTCTAGAGTTTGGAAATTCTTAGATTTGGAAGAAAATAACCCTTGCCTTACACCTAACCTTAAACACTTGCCTTTCGCAGGTGCCTTTTCACAGTATATTTTGTAGTCTTCACTGATCTTTTCTATGGCCAACTTTGGGTTCTTGTAGGCGAGCTCCTCAAAGGTCATTTTGGTTACATCTGTGAAGAAAAAATAAAGGCACAGCTTAGCTGTCCATTGTAGGGTTAAATATTCATGTACGTTTCTTGAAGACATTGTCTTTAAAATGTTATTTGAATCAGACAATGGTATTTAAATAGGCTACTTACATAAAGAATGCAAATCTTCTAACCTAAATTAGAACCAAAGAAGCATAGACTCCCCTCCATTCTAGAATGTGAGGTCCACACTGAAGAAACTATTGACGATTCAATATGAATTGTAACTCATTCATCTAGATGAGTTTTGATCCCTTGAAACCACCTTTCAGGAGGTGATGCAAATGAATTTCAAATATTCTCCTATTGCATTAACTTTTTTTTACATGCATGTCTAATAATTTGTTAGGGTTTTTCTTGGTTTGGCTTTGACTTTTGGTGAATTAGTCTCAGAACTAGTAGCTCATAGGCCAGGATCACGTAGGGGTTTTGAGAGTGACAGGACCTTTCATGGTCCACTTGTGCATGACCCAAGGACCTAAGATGCTGGATACTGAGCAGTCAAGGAAGATCAACCTGGATTAATGGCTCATTGTCTCATGCCAATGAAAGTTAGAGACACAGACTCTCGTGGAAAGTGGACAAAGGAGAACAAGGCTTTATAAAGAATCATTACAAGACAACAAAACATTGAAGAAAAGTGAGTGGAACTTCTGAAAGTGAGAGAGGTTCACCAAGTGTGGAGAAATGGTTAGATTTTCTACATCCAAGGCTTTTGTAGGACAATAATAGAAACTGAACAAAGGCTGTGATTATCTCTGTCGAGATTGTTTAGTTCTCTGGGCTGTCAAGGGCTGAGACAGTAGAGGGTCCATGTGCCCAATATATTTTGTGCCTCTACCCCACCCAGGGAGCTAGTTTGCTTTGGGCTTATGTTTCTCATTCAGTTAAGGGTGTTTGAAGCCTTCCTTACCCACCTCCAATGCTGGCTTTCTTAGCTATTGACCTTGGCTGTTGGCTAGCTGTTGCTCACTTGGCCAAGTCCCACCACTCTCAAAAGCCCCCACAACATCCTGGTCTATGAGCAACTAGTTCTGAAATGAGTTCACAAAAATCAAAGCTCAGAGCAAAGATGGCCTTAACAAATTATTTGCTACAGACATCAAAAGATTGAAGCAAGAACAATTGCAACTTCTGACCTTGTGAGTATCTTGCTATTGATAGTCATTGACCTTACTCTGGGCATAAGTTAACAGCTGGTGCTGCTAGCTTGACCTTTCAAGTGTCCAAATGCTGCTAACAGTCTAAGCTCCCTTTGTTCTTGCAGCTACCAAGAAGTAGCTGCAATGTTCGTGGTCACCTCTTCGTGTATAGAATGGTCTGGGGTCTCTTCCTGAGACGGGAGCAGGTTCCTTAAACTATTACAATTAGCTCCATTAGAAGCACCACGTTAAAAGCAAGGCTATTGTAGTAAGTGATAGTGCCTAGGATGGGTCTCCCAATGAGGAAGGCTCTCTTGGAAGCTACTCAGTCAGTCTGCCATCGCTAGCCTTGCTTCTTAAAGCCTGGCCACCTCTTACCAGGTCCATCGTATATGCAACTGGAAGCATCTCTATCTCTCATCCTTAGTGCTACGGCATCACTGTCTTAAGCCTCATATTCCCCCCTTTGCCACAGCATCCATCCCTACTGTAGAGTATGTGCAAAACTTGTACTTTTTGACAGGAGTGCCTTTCCTTTACTGTGAAATAACTCGTGTCTCAGAGCTACCACCAATAATTGTAAATCCTTGTTCTTTGGAAGTGGAACATCGGATGGGTGTCACATGATGTGAAAGGTCTGAACTTGCTCCATTTTACAGCTGGACCTGAGTTTCAGTTTCCTCAAAGGACAATGAGAGAGATGGCATGCACCAGGCCTGATCTGACCCCTCACAACATCACAACCCTCACCAAAAAGGACAGAGCCTGGGACTTGTCCAAACTTGCCCCCAAATGGAAGAGCTGTGGCTTTCACCAGTTCCTGTTAGCCCTAGCCAATTAGAACATACTAATATGATTGCCACTCGTGTAAGCCAATCATAAACAGGATGACCTAACTGCTTCTAGAATTCTTTTAGCTGTGTAGAAAAGGAGCCTGCGAGCTTCTCTCATTTTGCCTGTGTATCGGATGTGTGGTTCCCGCATGCCTGCACTCACACTCTCAAGATAATAAATGCTCTTGCTGGTTGCACACATGGGTGGTGATCTTTTGTTGGGCTTCTCCATCATGGAGTGTTCAGTGCTAATTATGGCAATGCTTCGGTGGGCAGTTTTCCAACTCCAGTGCCATGGCTTCCAGGGCCAGTAGAGAACACAGTATGTTTGCTTGGGTTCAGAACACGGCAGTCATTTTTAGTGTAACCTTGAAGGGTGACATTGTCCTTTATTTGGAGCTTATTTGTTGTGTTATTTTGAAGAGCAAGTGAAGTAATCTTTGTAGTACACAGTGCTGATTCATAATAAATGATCACTGATAAAGTAAGTTTTATATTTTCAAGTTCTCTAAATGTAAAGATTAAAAGAAAAGAAAAGAAAAATGTGATTGCCCTTACCCCTTTTTTTAAAAATTTTATTTCGACACACGATTTCTCTCCATAGCTTTGGCGCCTGACCTGGTACTTGCTCTGTAGACCAGGCTGTCCTCGAACTCACAGAGATCCGCCTGCCTCTGCCTCCCAAGTGCTGGGATTAAAGGCGTGCACCACCACTGCCTAGCCACCCTTACCTTCTAAGAACACCGGAGATGTTGTCAGTTCTACCTGGAGAGAGCCGCCCTGCCTCAGGTTCTCAGTAGCCACTTTTTGCCACTGCATAGAATCCATTTCCTGTAAGTTAGCCAAACCCTGGCCTAATACCAGTGATTCCTGAATCCTTTTATAAAGATGAATGTTCTCTTCTTTGCTTGTGGCTTCTCTTTTATGCCACCGGGCTTTGATGAAGCGTGTTTGAGTCTGAGAGGAGTTGGGGGAGAAGAGGAGAGAGTCAATGGTTATGGGAGTAAGCCAGAAGCTAGAGATTTGTGACAACTCAGTCCTTCATGTCCGTGCCTCCTGGTCACATAGACTTTGTCTCGTGGCCTTTAGAGCTATATACTATGCCCCCCTTACCCCATAATCCAACTCATTTTTTTCTAAGACAGAATATTTGAGTATTCTAATTCCTAAGAGTTAGCTATGTAGTAAGTATTTTTCCTTGAGAGCTTTATGTTCTTTTAAAAATATATATATTTCTCTCTCTCTTTCTCTCTCTCTCTCTCTCGCGCTCTCTCTCTCTCTCTCTCTGTGTGTGTGTGTGTGTGTGTGTGTGTGTGTGCGTGCGTGTGTGTGTATGTGTATGTGTGTGCAGTGCATGTATGTATGTGTTCAAAGGCCAGAAGAAGGCATCAGAAACTTTGGAGTTGGAGTTACACACAGTTATGGGCTATCCAACGTAGGTCTTGGCAGCTTGAGTCCTTTGGAAGTACAGTAAGTGCTCTAAACCTCCGAGCCCTCTCTCCAGCCCCTTAGGTCTACATTCTCTAGAATATCGGGGATCATGTCTCCCTCCCATTGCCTCCAGGAAAAAGTCCTAATTTTATTTCTTTTAAGCCTCTGAAACATAAGGACTTCCCCTTCCCTCCCAAACCCTCCACAATACAAAATCGCCCCTACTGTGAAAATGAGAAACCAATAGTCCTCTTCGTTCAGGAATTCGTCATACCAGGGACTGAGTACCTGAAATTCAAGCACAGTGTGACCATTATGAGATGGGCCCTCAGCTGGCTACTGCTTCCCAGCTTGTGGCCACCCCACACAGTAGACTGCAGGGTCTGGCTTCTCACTGGGAGATCCAGCGAGGTGGCAAACATCAGCTACAGCCTTCAGGGGACATTTCCATAGCAGTTCTCATAGCCTCTCTGTAAGTGTCAGAGAAGAGCAACACATTTGGATTGAAAGGGCAAAAGAAATTAGCTCAGAGCACTTAAATCAGCAAGCATCCTGCATGCTGCCTAGTGCCTTTCCAAAGCTCTGTTTGTGATTCTCAAAATGGCTTTGAAAACCAAGTGAGTCTGCTCTCACACCACCAACTTGGAGATCTTTCATGATTGAAAGTGCTGTTTCAGACATCATTGTTTTGAAACACGGCCTACCTTACAGATCTCCTTCTGGGCTTTGGGGATCCAGGGATTCACATCCCCAGAAGGCAGGAGCTTCTTCAGGCCCTGAATGGTCTGAGGTTTGAGTGGTACGGGTGGCCCCATCTGCTCATTCAGGTAGAGCTCACAGATTCTGTTACCAAGCATGTGACGAAAGAGCGCATTCCCACTCCTCCTGTTGCTCATCAGAACGCTGAGGAAATGCTGCAGGTCCTGCCAAAGGTCCAGGAGTTTTACCTCCACATCCATGTTCATCTTCTTCAGGTGATACCGGAATGGCCCCCCTGCACAGGCATCAGCACATAGGGCCCAGTGAGTGTAGCCAAAGGAGATGCCTTGCTTAGGGGACTTCTTGACCGCCAGCGGGGCAGTGTGGTTGATGATGGGGGTGGAAGTTCTCAGGTGGTTAGAGTACGTTGTCTCAAAGAGGCCCTCCATGTGGAGTTGGATCTTGGATTTTTTCTTCACAGTGGGTTTCTTGGCGTGATGAGTATCCTTGTTCAGGAAATAGATTATTGCCTCTTGTGAAGAATCTTCTCCCAGAGAAGGCTTTTGTAAAACTACGTTTTCTGGAAGACTAGTCCCTTGTTGGGGATTAATGGAGACTTCCGGCTTGGGGTCTGTTTCCAGAGACCATAAGATAGGGTCGATCAGCTGCCACAACTTCTTCTTGGCCTTCCTGCTTGAGTACTTCTTTTGGGAATGGTGGGATTTTTTGATGCTCATATTTAGAGGGAGCCCTCCTGCATGCGTGCAGCAGACACTGCACAGGCGAGTCTCATATTCCTGCATTAAGCCGTGACATGCTTCCTCATTGGCCATTGTCATCTTGGCATGGGTGTAAAAGTTGGGGAGCCAGTAGCTCTGGATTTTAAAGAGAGCCACTTTCTGCATGTGGCTTAGGATCTCCCTTCTGGTGGTGGACTGGTTGGGATGCCAGATGGAGAGGTTCAAGAGGGACTCTGAAAGGAGAGAGAGATAAAGAATGAGAACGAGATGGTGACAGCCAACGTTGTGAAAAGGAATCTGGTGTAGTCTGACTCTTCCTATCTGTCTGTCAGGGTTCCCAGCTCGATACCCCCTGCCCAGCTAGCTCAGTCGGTAGAGCATGAGACTCTTAATCTCAGGGTCATGGGTTCGTGCCCCACGTTGGGCGCCAGGATGACTCGAAAACTCTGTCTGTGTGTGTGCGTCTGTGTTTCAACTCCTAGGACAATATAGAACTCGTGGGAGGTGGGTGGTGATGCTGACCCCGTGGTGTGGAACGACCCCCACAATCTGGAGAATTTCTGAATATCTTTGTGTCTAGTGTGTTGCTAGTTCTGTGTGAAACCCTGGGGACAGAAGCAGGCAGAACACAGTGGCATGCTTTTGATGTCTTCTTAGCACACAGTAACTGCTTTTCTCTCGTGACTTTCTTCTTTCCCATGGAAACAACCCAGTGGTTTTGTGGGATTTCTTGAGCCCATTTTAGATTGTATTGTAAATAAAGGCAAAAGATACAAGAAAACATGATAAAAATGAGATTATACACACATGAATGAGACTCATGGTTCTAAACAATGGCCAAAGAATTTGGGCTGGATAATCCCAAAGAGTCAAAGCCTTCGAATCCAGTCATTGCTCGTTCTGGAGTCAATGTTATCATTTTTTAAAAAAACGTTTCATATAGCCCAGACTGCCCTCACTACGTAGTCAAGATGGTCTTAAATCCCTGATCGTCTTGTCTCCTCTTCCCAAGTACTGAGATTATGGGCATAAGTATCTATGCACAGATAATGTCATCAATTCGTAACTATTGCTAGGAATGAGAAGACTATGACTGATTTTAAACAGCACATCTTATGGAACACAGAGATACTGTGCCCAAAACGCCTCTTCATTTTTCATTCAGACTAAAAGATGTAGACCTGGGAGTCAAGAGAAAGAGTTTAGATAATAGTCTCAGATCGTAGGCCAGACAGTAAGTAATTTAAGCTTTGTAAACTACAGATAATTTCTGTTGGACTCTAAAACTTCCAAACAGTCTGCTTGCAAAGGTCACAGAGATACTACCTTGAGTCCACGGGCTGTTATTTGTTCTAGAGAATCTCATTAACACAAAAACATAACCGAGCCATGCAGACTCAGAAGCTACAGTAATTTCCAAGCTATCCTCTCCCTGTTCTGGTTCTCGTCTTCCGATCAACCCGCACCGGCCGGCTGATCTCAGGAAGGCCTGGGCACCACCCTGGGCATAGCTGCTGTCTTTCAGCCCTTTCTCGGTTGCAGGTTGTGAGTTCCGCTTGCACCCCTGGCACCGAGCAGATGGAGAAGATAACAGTGTGGAACGCAAAAGATGCGGGAGAGCAGATACCAGGTTGAGCTGCTGGTTACATCCCACCAGAACTCCATTTCGCGCATGCTCTGTAACTCTTACTGATGTTCATGTTGCAGAGAGTCACCACTCGGGAGCCTTCCTGCAGATGAGTGGCCTTCAGCATGAGCAGGAGGGACAGGTAGTAGTCTCTCACATACTCATCTGTCTCGTCTATACTCAGGATCTTCTCAGCAAGGATCCAGAAATCCAGCAACTCTTCACCTACAGGGCAGACAGGAGAGACTCAGGGTCGCGCTTGAATCCCGCCCCTTTGATGAACGTATCTTGGTGCCAACTGCTCAGGCCCTCCCAAGGCCTGTTCTGCTGCACCAAACACCATCACCAGCCAACTTCCAGTTAAGTTGGTGTCTCCAGAAAGTGTCCTGTGTCTGAGGATGGGAAGCAGGGGGAAAATGGACTTCATGGAAAAGAGTCCTCTATGGCTTTCTTTGGTTATGCTTTTAAAAACAAAGTCACTTTAGGGGAATCTGTGACATTACAAATCACGGAATATTGTGTGTTGTCAGGAAAAGAAGGAAAGACAAAAGACCTCGGGGAGAAAAGTGTATTCCCTATATCATGGACTCCGAGCAGCCTACAGAGGGGGTACAGCCCAGAGGTGTCAAAGACCACGTTCCCTATTTTATAACTTTGCCAACCTCAAATAGTAAATTGAAAGGTGCAGCCTGCCTAATTCTTACTGCTGCCCAGAGACTCGGGGTTTCATCCTTAAAACTAGGACCTGCCACAGAATGAAACTCAAGTGCTGGGCTGGAGTGCATCCTGGGCCAGCAAGCCAGTAGCCTCCCAGCACCCTGGTACTACTAGACCCAATAGAACAGAGAGTAGTATTTCCCACTCTCAAAACAGGTTACAGATCTGTTTCTTACCGTAGTGGAAGCTTTAAGAAGCAGGAACTTATGGGGGAGGAGGAGAAGTGCCTTTTAGTCCCAGCACTTGGGAGGTGGAAGCAGGTGGATCTGAGTTTGAGGCTAGCCTGATCTACAGAGTGAGTTCCAGGACAGTCAGCTACACAGATAAACCCTGTTTCAAAAACCCAGAAAGGAGGAGAAGGAACGTACGACCCCTTTGCGACGTTGTACTCCATTCTACTAGCCTAGTGGCTACCACACAGACATGCTTAGCAAATACTACTATATGGATGAATGAACGGGATTTGGATTGCATTTACTGTAACTTAGCAATCTTTCACCCAAACTGCACTATTAAACATATCTAGATTTTCCACTGATGCACGTAACTGCCATCTGAGGTTTGGACATCCTGGAAACTGCTAAGGGCTTCTTCAGAAACCCACCTGCACTGCCCATGAGGTAGGAGCAGAAACGCCACATCCCTCTGACCCCAGCGATGCATTTTTCCAGGAGCCACTGGTCCGCCATTTTCCATCTCATCATCTTGGCTGCCGGGAAAGACAATGAGAAAAGGGGCGTGAACTCTTCCCCTTGCCCCTCTCTCTGCTCCGAACACAACCAAACATCACTTGTCCAGAGTGAGCCGGTTAGATGAACGGGGTCCTGTCTGTGGTGTTTTTGAAACTAGGTACTGGGCCATCTGGTAACATGTGTCAAGAGCGCATGCGGGGTCTTCATGTGTGCGTATAATCCATACCTCAAAAATATCCTCTCCCCCACTACAGTCGCTACCTGACAATGATATTGTCCTTAAAAGCGGTTTGACTCCCCCTCCTCTCTCTCTCTCTCTCTCTCTCTCTCTGTGTGTGTGTGTAAAATGTAATTGAAGTGGTAGTTGAGTATAGCAGGGGGGCTTGGTACAATATTTGTCTCCACAGATGCCCCTAATTGTAGCTTCCATTGGTTAGTGAGTCAAAAGTTGCCAATTCAACTCTACACAGAAATTTTGTCCACTCATTTAACAAATACTGATTTAACAAATACATAGCTACTAGATGCCACACCTTGTTCCATGCCTTGGATGTCAAATAAAAATTCATGCCCCTGAGGGGGTTTATATTCAATTCCTGTGGATGTGCCAAAAATATGTATGATGAGTACATTATTCAATAAGTCTGAAAGTGGTAAGAACTGAAAAAAAAAAGTAGAGCCAAATAAAGCAAGCTGGGAGTTCTGGGTGAGCGGATGGACAGGGTTCCACGGGATCATTAGAAGTGCTTTCAATGGAGGTGGGGTTTGCATGAGCCTTTGAGGTGGCAGGGAGAGCCCTGTGGATATCTGGGGAGAGCATTCCAGGCTGAGGTACAGCTAGTGCGAAGCAGAGCGGTGGGGAGGTATCCAGCATGCTTGATGGACTGGGAGTCAGTGAGGCTGGACTGGAGTGACTGGGGGCAGGGGGAAGTGATGGGACCTAAAAGAAAAGGGAGACTGGTCTGTAGGGCCCTCGGGGTGCAGGGGTGCTGGATTTGCCCCGAGACAGGAACCACTGGTGAGTGTGGGTGGATGTTGGGGGGCGGGGCACAAAGGCATTGAGTAGATGTGTGTCTGATCTGAATTACGTTTCCCTGTTTTTATTGTGTTAAAACACATTTTAAAAATTACTATTTTAACTATTTTTAGTGTACAATTCAGTCCCATTAGATACATTTGTAATGTGCAACTAAAATGACCATGTGTCTCCAAAATGCTTTTGTTTTCAGGTTAAACTGAAATCGTAACCATTACATAATAACCCTCATTTCTCAGTCCCTCCGGCTCTGCAGAAGTTACCCATGCACTTCTCTTTCTGTGATTTTTGACTCGTACCACTTCGTACAAGTGGAACACACAGTATTTTCCCTTTTCTAATTGCTCATTTCACACAGTGCAGTCTCTTCGACTTGCCCCGTGTTGTGGCGAATGCCAGCATTTCCTTATCACGGCAGCATAGCGTTCCATTGAATGTAAGGGTGATGTTTTCCTTAGCTACTGATTTGTTGATGGACGTGGGTTGCTTCTTCACCTTAGCTGTGTGAATAATGCCATTGGGAACATGGGTGCACAAAGAACTCTTTGGGACTCTGTATTCAACTCTTTTTAATATACACCTTGAAGTAAAACTACCGGACAGTGTGGTAATTCTGTGTTTGCTTGTTTGTTTTTCAAGAATTGCTGCACGGCTTTCTTCAGTGACTCTGTCATTTAACATTCCTACCAACCACGTGTAAGAGTTCCAGTTTTCTCACATCCTTCCCAACAGTTATCATTGTGCAGGTTTTCTTGGGAGTGGTTGTGCTGCAGACATGGTAATAGATGTGAGGTTGTATCTCAGTTCGGTTTTGGCTTGTATTTCCCTTACAACTAGTGAACTAGGCATCCTTCTACGTGATTATTAGCTATCTGTTCATATCTGCGGAGGAAATGGCTTTGCATTTTTTGCCTATTTTCATTTTATATTTTTTGTTGTTGCTGAATTTTAAGAGTTATTTATATATTATGGATCTCCTCTTTCAAATAATATAGCTTTCAAATATTTTCTTCTATTCTATGCTGTTCCTTTTTTTCTGTTGGTAGTTTCCTCTGAGGTCTAAATTCTAAGGCTAACTCTGCATTGATGCCACAGTTAAGAAATTATTGCCAAATCCAATGATGTGAAACCCTGGGCCTGGACTTTCTATTGGTTTTGCAGTTTTAGATCTAATAATTAGGTCTTTGATTTACGTTCATTATTATCTACCATGTGTTATAGAGGTAAACTTCTTTCTCTTATATCTAGACTTTGATTTGTTCCAGCGTTTTCTTTCCCCTCTCTCTCTCTCTCTCTCTCTCTCTCTCTCTCTCTCTCTCTCTCTTTCTCTCTCTCTCTCTGGATTCATGCATATACATGTATTTGTGGAAGCCAGAGGATAACTTCTGGTGCCATCAGGGCTGGCTGCCATCAGGGCTGGCTGCCATCAGGGCTGGCTGCCATCAGGGCTGGCTGCCATCAGGGCTGGCTGCCATCAGAGGCCGTCCACCTTTCACTCTTGAGTCAGGACCTTTCACTGAACTGGAACTTGCCTAATGGGACGGGCTGACTGAGTGGAGTGTTCTCCAGAGATCCACCTGTCTCCAGCCCCTAATGCTAGGATTTCAAGTGTGTGGTACTAAGCCAGCTGTTTCTGTGATTAAACTCAGGTCCTCCCCCTTGCAAGGCGAGCATCTTACTGACTAAGCTATTTCCCCAGCGCTCAGCTTCACCTATTGAAGACTATTCTTTCACAGAGTAATTTTGGCAGTCTTCTCAAAAGCCATTTCATTGTATGCTTGGTGTTTATTTCTGGGCTTTACATTGTCTTTCAATGGTCTTAAGATTTGTCATTATGCCAGTTCTAAACTGTTTTGACTATTATAGTCCTGCACTAAGTTTTAAAACTAGGATACGCAAGACTCCCATTTTTCTCTCCAACTTCAAAATTGTTATAACTACTCAGGATCCATTGAGTTGCTATATGAATTTTAGGACTGACTTTCCTATTTTTGTAAAAGAAGCTATTGGGATTTCAGGAATCTGTGTTTTTAAAGCATACTGATATCCTAACAATATTTGTTTTCCAAACAATGAACATAGGAGGTATTTCTATTCATTTATTCCTTAGTTTGTTTCGGCAAAGTTTTGTAATTTTCATTGTGCAAGTATTTCACCTGTTTGACAGAGTTAATTCCTATACATTTACTTTTTAATTATTTTTATATTCTTTTAAATTAGATTGTTTGTGATTTCTTGTTCTATTGTTTATGGAGAATATATATATATATATATATGTATATATATATATAACTATTTGTGTGACTTTATATTTCACTACAGGACTCATTTATCAGTTCTAACAGAAAATTTTGCATAAATATTATGGGTTTTGTTTTACATAAAATATCATATCCATCCTGTGATCAATGATAATTCTAGTTTTGTCTTCTGTTATCTTCTATTTTCTATAAACAAAATCTTTTTTCTTTTCTTTATCTTCTTAATTGCTCTGGTAAAGACTTCCACTATGATGTTAAGTTGGAATGATGGAAGTGGGAATTTTCGCTCTGTTATTGCGGTGTGCTGAAATGATTAATTTTTCCATGTTGAACCATCCTTGCCCTCTGCAAACAAGTCTGTTTGCTCAGAATTTATAACCTTTTACTACACTGATGAGTTCAGGTGCCTAACATTTTATTGTGGATTTCTATATCAATATTGATAAAGGTCATTGAGCTGTTTTTTTCTTACAGCTTCTTTGTCTGGCTTTGGTACCAGGGTAAATGTCTTCATAGAATGAATTTTAAAAGTAACTTTGTTGTTAGATATTGGAATCATTTAGAAAGGACTAAGACTTATCTCTTACGTGTTTCATAGCTTCTGAGAGCATATGAGATTGGGTGTATTCAAGGAGTTATGGTCGTAGATGAGATGTCCATTTCTGGATTTAGTTCTGTAAAGTTTTGTTACATATGTTTGGATGATCTCCAAGAGAAAGGTAAAAGTTTGCAGTTATATCTTCATGATAATTTGAACTTTGCATGCACATAGTGTCTTTATGTGTCTCTTCTGATTTAAAGTCTGTTCTGTCTGATTTTATTATATCCACTTCAGTTCTCTTTCAGTTACTATTGGTATGTAATATTTTTCCATTCATTTACCATTCTTTCTCTAAACACCTTGTAAAGTTGATGTAATTCATGAATGTATACTAATTCTTACAGTGTGAAATACTTAAACTCTTAAAGAAATGTATGCATATATATTTACAAAGAAAATATAATCCAATAGTAGAAAATACTAAAGCTAATGAAAATATCATTTGATCTGAAGAGACAAAGTTATTATATAAAAGATAAATGCCCATTATGTGAGCCCAATCAAATACCCTTTAATCAGTTACTTAAAAGTTACATAAAAATAAAATCTCTCAGTATGGTAGATATTTCAATATGCTTATAGAACTGTTTTACTTCAACATTTATTTTCAGGAATGAAACTAGACTGCATAGTCCCGCTATCTACCTTAAGAACGAATGAATGACAGACATAAAGTTTTTATAAAACTTATGAAAGTTAGATAATTTCTAAAGCATTCTAAACAAAATATTTTGAATAAGGTTTTTTGTATTACTTATATTGACACTATTCCACTACAGAAGGTTTTTCTTCAAATCTGTGAAACTGTTTGATATTAATAGACCTATTTCTTTTTCACGTTTACAAAGTCCTGACTTAATGTGTATCTCATATGTGGGCAAAATAAAGACTTGTACTTCTAGATTTTCACCAGAGTCTGCTCTTCCATATTTGCATTTAAACTGAGTTCACAGAGATCCTCCTAAATGTTTTATGCTGATACGAGTTTTCTTCATCATGCATAGTCATGTTTGTCATAAATACGTTGTGACAATGGCACCTACCTACATAGTATATTTAGAGATTCTCTCAGTTGTGACTCTTTACATGTTTTCAAAGGGAAGCAGAACAAGAGAAAGCCTTCCCACATTTCTGACATCCATATTGTTTATCTGCAGTGTACTCATATTCATGTGTTCACAATTTACTCCAAGGATATAAGGTGTTCGTACATAGCTTACACCCTAAGGATTTTCTCCACTCTGAAACCCTTCCTGGAACCAAAGGGAACCGGGATGAGTGAAGGCTTTCCCACATGACGTAACACTGTTTCCTACACTGAATCATTCTATGACATTGAAGAAAATAGGAAAAGATGAACGTTTTCCTACATTTACATATAGGGCTTCTCACCTTTGCAAATCTTTTTGTGGCATCTAAGGCAACTGTGATAAGTGAGGCTTTCCCACATTGGTTAGATGCATAACATTTCTCTCCTGTGAATCTTTTCATGGTATCAGGGGGAACTGCAATTTGTAAAAGGATTTACCGCAATGCTTACACACATGTGTTTTTTGAGTCTATTATGAATCCTGTGGTACTGTCTTAGTCACCGTTCTATTGCTATGAAGAGACAGATGACCAAGCCAACTCTGAATAAAGAAAGCAGTTAGCTGGGGGCTGGCTTACAGTTTCAGAGGCTTCGTCCATTGTCATCACAGAGGGGAGCATTGGTGGCACACAGGCAGGCACTGGAGCAATAGCTAAGAGCTTTATATCTTGATCCACAGGTAAAGAGAAAGACAGCAGGCCTAGTGTGGGCTTTTGAAACCTCAAAGCCTACTCCCAGTGACACACCTCCTTCAACAAGGCCACACCCACTCCACACCTCCTAATCTGGTCAAACAGTTCAATTGGTGACCAAGCATGCCAATATATGAGTTTATGTAGGCCAATCTCACACAAGCCACCATAGGTGTGAAAGGTTAAGTGTGGTCACCAAAGGCTTTCCCACATTGGTGACAAATATTCTCTCTGTTGTGGCTTCCTTGATAGCAATGAAGTAAACTGAAATAAAGGAAGGCTTTACCACATTGCTTGCATTCATAAGTTTTCTCTGCACCGTGTCTTTTTCTTTTGGCATCAGAAGAAAATGGAGCAAGTGAATGCTTTCCCCACACTGTGCATATTCATGGGGCTTCTCTTCAGCGATTCCTTTCAAAGCACTAAAGTGAGAAAGGATACGCAAAGGCTTTCTCAAGTTTGTTACATATGAAGTTCTTTTTCGCTGCACCTTCTTTCCTGATTGAAAGTGAAACAGGTTGCACACAGGTATTTATGTGATCCAACTCTGTTGTGTGTTACACGGCTCATGCAATCCGATTTCTCTCCGGCAAGATTTCTTTGAACACAGCTGTGAATATTGAAGGGTTTTCTGCATCGCTTGCATCTGTGGTTTTCTCCGATGTGAGTCTTCACATGATTCTTAAATCATTGGAGAGAACTGAGGACATCTCCTCACTCCTTACACTGATAGCACCTCCTCTTATTTATGATACTCATCTCGTTTGCATCCACCCTCAAATGTGATGTGAGCACTGGGAACAAGTGAACACTGAGGACATCTCCACACTCCTCCGTTCTACCTGGTTTTACTCCACAAGGGTTAATTTTGTTCAGAAGAGGATCTACAGCGTAGCTGGATTTTTCTCCCATTGACTATCTCCATTATGTTCACATAATCTCTCTACAATATGTTGTCTTGATTTCTCTTGAATTGTTGCCATCGTCTTCGATGTTCTGGTCCTCCTGTATTTTTTTTTTCAATAACATCTAGGATCCCAAAGGCTTCCTGTATCACATTTCAGCGCGGTTCCTTTTAGAATGATCCTGGAAAGTTCATTCCTCCAGGGTGATGTTCATAATCACACTTCAAAGGTCAGAGACTTCTCCATTTTTGTTTTCAGGTCTGGTGCTAACTGCTCCTGAGATCAGTATACAAACAAAAACAAAACAAACAAACAAAAAAACAAAACCAAAAACACTAACCACCCAAGGCCTGTCTTAATATCCAGGATTGTCAGGATTGAGTCATAACTATGGCGGCACTAGAAAGGCTCCATCCAATAACTTTCAATCATGTGTATTTGAAAGGATTATCATTATCAGTTAAACTCACTTTTTGACAATTTTATGCATGTGTATACTACATAGTGATTACTCTCACCCCCTCCACTCTCTTTAATTTTCTCACATTTCCATCTATCTGTTTTGTTCTGTGACCCCACCCCCAGTTTAACCAGGCACATCTCTGTGATGTGTCCACACAGTTTTGGACAAACCTGCTGGAGAGCCTGGTAGCTTCAGAAGTGAGTACACAACTGAAACCATTTTCCCCCATTCCCGTAATTTTTCAATATTCAATAATTTAGGGGAAAGGCCTCATGAGCCCTTCTTCCATCCATAATTGATGTCGACAGGATCAGCACTGCACACATCTGGAGCAGGGAGCTGAGGCTGCTGAGTCCATATTGGTAATAGCTGTGCCACACCTAAAGGTGGCATTTCTCCCTATGCTCCCGTTCGTACTGTCTTCCCTGAAAGAATTAAAATTTCAAAAGGTTTGTTATTATCACTTTTGGTGCCTATACCCACACATAGATACATGCATATACATAACCAGGAGTGTCACCTCTTGATACAACAGGTGTTAGACTTCTAACATACCATACCATACCATAGAACTGATATGCATAGCATCATTATGTAGTATGGCTTCTCATATTTCTCCACATGCTCTCACACCCATGCCTACCTCCTTCTGGGGACTTAATAAAGCTGATGAGCTCCTGACAGAGAATGTAGTGGAAACACAAGTCTGTTTTGCAGAAGAAAGGTAACCGGTATTTTTCCAACCAGGTCAATAATCCTTTGTACTTGGCAATCTAGAGTCCAAACAAAATAACGGAAAGATAAACGGAACTGAACCCTGCAGAAATCCAGCACAGAAAGGAACATCAAGTTGGGCAGTGGTGGTGCACAGCTTCAATCCCAGCACCCGGGAGGCCGAGGCAGAGGCAGAGGCAGGTAGATCTCTGTGAGTTCGAGTCCAACCTGGTTGACAGAGTAAGTTCCAAAATCCAAAACTGTTTCACAGAGAAACCCTGTCTCAAAAAAAAAAAAAACAAACAAAAAAGAAAGGAAGGAAGGAAAAAAGAAAAGAAAAGAAAAGAAAAGAAAAGGCATCAAGTCACGTTGCATTTGCAACATCTGGTTGGAAGTGCTGGTTAAAAGTTGTGCCTAAGGGGAGTGGAGACCTGAACTGAGGTTCCCAAAGATGAGAGTTGTTAAGTTGAAAATAAAAAATTAAAAAACACACACCCATACAAAACAAAATCCCAACATGACATATCTTTATAAAGTTTTCCTTATTCCCAAGTTCGTTTTAAAAGAAAACAGATAATTTTTTGTTTGACCAAAATAATTATAAAAAAGAGTAGCAAAAATCTTGTTCTGTAATGCAAATCAAAACAACTCTGAGATTCCATCTTACACCTGTAAGAATGGCCAAGATCAAAAACACTGATGACAACTTATGCTGGAGAGATTGTGGGGTAAAGGGAACATTCCTGCATTGCTGGTGAGAGTGCAAACTGGTACAGCCCCTTTAGATGTCAGTGTGGCCATTTCTCAGAAAATTAGGAAACAACCTTCCTCAAGACCTAGCAATACCACTTTTGCATATATATCCAAAGGAGGCTCAATTGTGCCACAAGGACACGTGCTTAACTATGCTCATAGCAACATTGTTTGTCATAGCCAGGACCTGGAAACAACCTAAATGCCCCTCGACCAAAGAATGGATAAGGAAAATGTGATACATTTACACAATGGAGTACTACAGAGCAGAAAAAAAAATGACATCTTGAAATTTGCAGGCAAATAGATGGCACATCATTTTGAGTGAGGTAGCCCAGACCCAGAAAGACAATTACCATATGCACTCACTCATAAGTAGTTTTTAAACATAAAGCAAAGAAAACCAGCCTACAAATCACAATTCCAGAGAACCTAGACAACAATGAGGACTCTAAGAGAGACATACATGGATCTAATCTACATGGGAGGTAGAAAAACACAAGATCTCTTGGGTAAATTGGGAGCATGGGATCCTTGGGAAAGGGTTGAAGTGGGGAGAGGCAGGGAGGGGGCATAAAAGATGTAGAGCTCAATAAAAATCAGTTTAAAAGCAAAAAAAAAATAGCACTGCAATGAACATTAAAAAAAAAAAAAACTTGTTCTGTGATGTCAGGTCCAACTCAATTGTCTTGTTTCTCTTTTCCAAAATGATTTCTCATAAAACCTCAACCCACGTTAACTGCACAAAGAAGCTAAGGGCGAAGGCACATACCTTTTACCAGCTCCTGGCAGGAGAATCATGAGTTCTAGCCTAGCCTGAGCTATATAGCAAGTTCTTCTCCCAATAACTACACAAATACATAGACAACACACACACACACACCACCACCACCACCACCACCATTTAGAAAAGAGGGAGGATCCTAAGAGACAGTTCACCAAAGGGTGGGGGGGGAAGCAAAGTTTCGAGAAGTTCGAGTGGAGAAAGCAAATACAACAGTTGAAGTAGGATGGTCCTCTTAGGTTACTGGAGCTCAGAGGAAACACACTCCTGCTGTGAGGGAGGCTCAGTGTGATCTGTGCAGTAACGCACACCGCTAGCACAGCGCAGAAAGCCACTGGCAGGTCCAAAGTCCACATAATGGAAAAGGAGGACAACTTACAAGAAAAAGAACTAAGGTGGAGAAAGTAAGAGAAAGGCATGCTTTCAGAAGAGAACAGGAAGAGGGCTGCATCTGGCCTTGGACTGGACCCGCAGTGCACAGCTGATCACATCTATGGCCCAAGTGTCCCCCCCTCACACTATGTCAGCTAAGTCTTAGATTCTTTCTTGCTTAGGTGTGTGCCCTTAGGCTTCTCAGCACAGTGTCCAAGCATCTCCTGCCCAACAGCAGACATGAGAGATTTCCTAACTGTCGACTAGAATATAAAGAGAGAATTGAGCGGCAATCGCTGGTCCCGCGGTGGGTAACCTGCCACCTGTCTCCCTGGCTTAATGCTACTTCTTCCCCTCAGCTGCTTCACACTTTCCTCCATGGCCACCCCTAGGTGCCTTCTTCCTCCCCATCTCCAAATTCTTCAACTACACCCCCTCCCTCTGCCATTCAAGAATCTTACCAAGTCGTAAGGTATTTCTGGCCATAAGCTCCACTGCGCATTCTCAACATTATAAAATGGTGTCTGACCAAAGACCTGCGAAGGAAAGTATGATGATTGGGATCAGAATATCCTCCATAAGTGCGGTCCCAGTGGATACAACTACAAAGCACTCCCACACATAAGACCCAGGAGACATTGCGTAAGAAGGGGCAAGATGATTGTAAGCCAGAGGAGGAGCAACTTTGCTGTGAGACTGTGTCTGTCACATCAAAAGTTAGACTCGTAAAGTCTCACCAACATGACTGCCTATATATGAACTGAACGAGGAGGACAGCAATGGACATGCCAAAGAAGGACGGGGACAAACCAATGCGCAAGGCTTCAACCCACACAAAGAACTAGAGGCATCCTGGTAACACGGCGAGTGAGAGAGGTGGTCCAGCTTGGAGAAGAGCACAACCAAATGGTTGTCCAGTGTCAAATGGTCAGCCCTGAAAACATACATCCAAGGAGCATTATATGGATCTAATAGGCTGTATTTAGGAATATATGTGTATATACAAACACACATATGTATGCAATAACAATTAGTTAAAAAGAAAAAGAGGCCATGAATTTGAAGGAGGGTAGGCAAGGGTTTATGGAAGAGTTTGGAGGGAGGGAAGGGAGGGGAGAAATACCGTAATTGAAACACGTCTCAACAAGAACAGCAAAAGTATTTCCTCCATAGGCTCGGATATTTGAAAATATTTTTCAAAGATACCTATGGAAGGTATCTTTTTGGCACCGTTTGGTGGCACTGTTTGGTGGCCCTGTTGGGTAGGTTTAGAGGTTGTGGCCTTGTTAAAGGAAGTATGTCACTGGATGTAGGCTTTGAGGTTTCAAAGCCATGCATAACTCCCAGCTCGCTCTCTCTGTCTCTCTGTCTCTCTCTGTCTCTCTCTCTGTCTCTGTCTTTGTCTCTGTCTCTCTCTCTCCCCCTGTGTTTGTGGTTCAGAGTGTGAGCCCTCAGCTTCTGCCCCAACTGCCATGCCTGCCACCTGCTGTCTCTGCTCCACCATCATGAACTCCTATTCCTTTGGAACCATTAGTCAAAATAAACTTTCTCTTTCTTTCTTCCTTTTTTCTTTTCTTTTTTTTTGTTTTATTTTGTTGTTGTTTGTTGTTTGTTTTTTTTTGTTTGTTTTTGTGAGACAAGGTTTCTCTGTGTAGTCCTAGCTGTCCTGGAACTTGCTCTGTAGACCAAGTTGGCCTTGAACTCACAGAGATCCTGCCTCTGCCTCCCAAGTGCTGGGATTAACAGTGTGAGGCACCACCACTCAGCAACTTTTTCTTTCTTAAGTTGCCTTGGTCACGATGTTTCATCACATGACTCTGAAAGCAGCTAGAAGAGATCTTTGCACATAGAGCAAGTTTCATCTGCAGCCATGGGGGAAGAAAGACTTCCTGACGTTGTTATTCCAAGAGACATTGATTTTAAGATTCTTTCCACTTTAACAACCTTCTTTACACAATAGCATTAAGATGACTTAATTCTGAGGTTCACTTAAATTGACAAGAAGGTAAATATTACAATGCATTGGTAAATATATTCAACGATTAAGGGTCTTAGTTTTTACATACAAGCAAGATAGTTTCTCCCTTCCCTTTCCTCCCTCCAAACTCTTCCATAAACCCCTGCCTACCCTCCTTCAAATTCATGGCCTCTTTCTTTTTTTTAAACAAATTGTTATTGCATACATATGTATGTTTGTAAATACACACATGTTCCTAAATATAACTTGTTCGATTCATATAATGTTCCTTGGATATATATTTTTTCAGGGCTGACCATTTGGCATTGGACAACCATTTGGTGTGTTTGTCCCCAAGCTGGACCACCTCTCTCACTCGCCGTGTTACCAGGATGCCTCTAGTTCTTTGTGTGGGTTGAAGTCTTGTAGATCTGTGAACTATCTTGGATGACTAATGTCTTAAAATAGCTCCTGAGACCCAAGACAGTGTCAGAAGCATGAAACAATTCTGGATAGGAAAGGCAGGCTTCAGAGTTACGATTTGATTGTGAAGTTTTTGGAGATGTGACAGCTGGTTCTGGTTCCTGTTTATTTGTTCAGATTAAATTGAGGGCCATCAAGGTGGCTCAGTAGGTAACGCTGCTATCCGCCAAAGCCTCATGACCTGAATTTGACATAGTAGAGGGAGATCACTGACTCTCACAAGTTTTATTTTGATCTCCACACATGTACCATGGTGTTTGCATGAGACACACACACACAAATAAATATAATAAAAAATTCAAAAGCAGAAAAAAAATCTCAATTTGCAAAAGAAATTCATAAAAATACAAAACAAACACTTAGACATGTTGATGGAACATTTGGATTCAGAGCTAAGAATGCTTACCGGGAGAGAAAGAAATGTGTTGAAAAAATCAGCAAAGATTTCATCCTCCAAAAGAATAATGAGATTTGTAGAACCGATGATCTCTGCATGTGGAGAAAACAAAACAGCCAAGATGGAGTTACGTCTGATAGCGAAAACAAAGCTGCTGGACAGATGGTTGCCATGCCCGGCCTCTACGCAGTGGATCTGACCCTGGGTCCCTCCTCCGGGGCCTTTTTTTCATTGTTGCTCTCTTACATACTCCTAGCCGTGGGGAACGCACTGCCTCACACAGCCTATTTTGTTTATGAAGAGATGAAAACCAAGAGTTTCTGTCTTCCTCTGCTCTGCCTTTGCTGCTGCTTGGGCGCATCCTGCCCTCTGCAGTGTAGCGGGATTCACAGGTCCCCTTACCGGACAGGACTCCAGCCTTTCAGAGCTCCACTTCCCCCCTTCCTCAGCCTTCCACTCATCTCCTTCTCTCATGATGGCCTCTTTTTTTTTCCCACTTCCCCCCCCCCTTTTTTTTTTTTGGCTGGAGCTACTCCAATAGCCCACCCACCGTAAATGCTTCCCAGGGTGGTACGCACAACAGCTACCTATGTGTAAGCATGTAATATTAGTGTGTCCTGAATCAGGGTTCCCTTTGGGGGGCTCTCACGTGACACTAATTACCGCCACCATCTTTAATCTGTTGCTTTTCAGAAAACAAGGGAAGGAATTTGTGTGTATTCCAATAGTATTTCACCCGGGTAATTTAAGTCTAGCTCAGGCTGACCTAGAACTCACTATGTAGCCCAGAGTGGCCTCAAATAATACTAATAAACCAAGTGTTGGTGGCGCATGCCTTTAATCCCCACACTCAGGAGACAGAGGCAGGTGGATTTCTGAGTTCGAAGCCAGACTGGACTACAGATTTGTAGATTAAATTCCAGGAAGGCCAGGGCTACTCAGAGAAACCTTGTCTCAAAACAACCAACCAAACAGACAAACAAAAAAATAAAACTCACAATAATTCTGCCTCAGCTTCTCAAGTACTCAGATTATGGGCGTGAGCCACCAAGCCAGGACTTAGCTATGCTTTTTAGACCTTAAGGTTTAGTGAATAGTGAAGGGTTTGTAAATAAGAATAAAAATATGGAACTAGAAATACAGACACCAAAGATTAGAATGTAGAAGCTTAGGATAGAGGAAGAAAGACATATAAAACTGTAAACCTAAGCAGATCACCAACAGAGTTCTCAGCAGAGCAAGGAAGGCAATAGGCTAAGCACAAACATCAGTTTAGCTGAAAAATGAAGATTATAAAGTAAGGCAACCTGTATCTGAGTTTTACCTTGAGATTGTGTGAGAAGCTTTTTGCTATCTTCTAAGTTTCTAGCCTAAGAACCAATTATTCTGATTTATTAACCTTCTGATATTACTAGCAGTCCCTTTTTCTGGCTAATTGCTAAAAACATCTGTTTCCTTGCAATTAGTGACTTTCATTGTAATCGCCTCTGGAACATATTTCATGAAAGCTGCATAGTTACCCATTGATGTTAGAACCCACTCCCTCCTTCCCATTACCCTGTACTACCATGTCTAATAAAGGAGACTTGATCAGAATCCAGTCTTGTCTCCATTTCTTGTATCTCTTGTCCCTTTCAACTCTCACTCCCCCCCACCCCCGCACCGCTAAGGGTCTTTGTTGACTGACCCATGGGCCAGGGCAAGATTATAAGAATTCCTTTGTTCAGACCTAATGCTTGGTGCCCATACTATAAAAAGGTGAGTTCAGAAACTGGTTTTTTGCCACAGTGTCAGAAGTCTGAACTCTGTCTGTGGTCTCAGCTAGCTGATAAGCTTCTGTGCCCCACAGTGTTTTTCTTTTTCTTTTCTTTTTTTTCTTTTTAAGTTTGCTTCTGATTTTCCTGAAATCTGGTTTCTTGAATAAAATTTGCTTCTGGTTTATTAGACTTTGGCTACCATCTTTGTGCAACCTCACTGGACCCAACAAATAGCAAACTAATGACTACATCAACAGCCCAACAGTCTTCTATCACACCCAGGATTTATAATGAAAGATGGTCAAAGAATAATCTAAACAACCCAAACTAGGCCCTGTCTCAGTATAGTTAAACATCTGATGAAAAGAATTAATGTCATTGAAATGCAGTTTTGTTAACATAAGAAAACTAAGTGCAAAAGATGTAGCTCATCTGGTAGAGTGCTCGCCTGATAGTCAGGAAGTTATGGGTTCAATCCCCAGCCCTGCTAAACCAGGCATGATGATGTTGTATGCAATCCCAACACTTCAGTAGAGAAGGCAGGAGAGTCAGAAGTTCAAGGCCATCTCATTTAAAGAGCAAGTTTGAGGCCAGCTTAGATTACATATAATTCTTTCTCCAAAAATAAAATAAGAATAATATAATTTAAAAATAAGGTAGCTTGGCATGATAGCCCATGCCTTTAATCCCAGTACTCAGGAGACAGAGGAAGGCAGATCTCTACATCTGAGACCAACCGAGAGTACAGAGCAATTTTCAAAGCAGCCAGGGCAATGTAGAGAAACTCTGTCTCAAAACAGCAAAAATAGGCCAGACAGCACTTGGGAGGCAGAGGCTGACAGATCTCTGTGAGTTCAAAGCCAGTCTGGTCTACAAGAGCTAGTTCCAGGACAGGCTCCAAAGCTACAGAGAAACCCTGTCTTGAAAAACCAAAATCAATCAATCAATCAATCAATCAATCAATCAATAAAGCAAGCCAACTGAGCAACAGCCTCTGGCATTTTATCCTCATGATTAAAACCCGGAAATGTTTGCCTTTGAGTAGCAGAAACAGAAACCCATCAAACGTGACTGTGTGCAGCAGAGCTATCACTGACCCTTGTCTTCTATCCCAGACACCTTTTCCTGAGCAGCGGACACTTCCCCAGTGTTTGCCTGTGTCACCCACGAGGCCCTCTCTGCTTTTCCTGAGAACTCCTGACTTGTTAAATGGCACACAGGTCATCACAAGTTCTGTTTTCAGACCAGGCATCTCCCTTTTCTTTTTTTCTTCTCTTTTCTTCATTTTTTTCTTTCTTTCTTCATTTTGTCTTATTTTATTTATTTTTATTTCTACCTCTTCCTCCTCTTTCTCCTCCTCCTCCTCCTCCTTTTCCTCCTTCTCCTTTTCTTCTTCCTCCTCCTTTTCTGCAGAATCCCATATAACCCATGGTGGTTTAAAGTTTGTTTACATTGTCGCCTGAGGAGACCTTGAAGTTCTGGTCCTCCTGTCTCCACCTCCCTAGTGCTGGGATTATAGGCATGGATGCCTGCTTCATTGCTTAAATTAATTAATTTTTGAAATAATACTTTTTATGTTTTGGCGACATCATACATTTATATAATGTATTTTGATGGTTTCTATCTACTACTATCTCCCTCCAGATCCCCTGGTACCCCTACCCCCTCCCAACTTCATGTCTCCCTTTTTGTTGTTGTTAAGAACTCCCGAGTCTAATCAGTGCTTTGCCTATGTGTATGAGTGTGGGGGTGTGTGCCCACTATATGCTGTTGAGACTTGAACTCAGGGCTTCATGGATGTTCTACCAATAGAACTATAATCCCAGCCCTAAATCTAGTTATCTAGTTTAAACAATCCAATGAACATTAATCATCTAATCCAGAAAACCTTCTCTTTTCCCCCTCCCCCGACTGTTCCTGTGTGTCTCCCTCTACTCTGCCTCCCATAAGCATTAGAAGTCCATGCTATGTGGCTTCTCCCCTTTTCCTTATTTCTGCCATCATCTTCTCTTCTCCATCCACACAGAGTCCTTCTCTCATTTCAGGCCCCACCAACTGTCTAATAGACCACAACATGGGTTCATTAAACGGTCTCTCTGGTACCAGGGTCTTCCCTGCAAGTGCCCTCACATGGTCACCAGAGTGTGTTAGCGTTGCTATTGGTTAGAGCCCTTCACAGATCCTCAGTGCCCCATGGTCTCACAGGCTGAGTTTTGCCTGCTGTTTGGCCCCCACACTTTCCAGCATGCCCACCCCATTTTTATTAGTCCAAAGCAAGTCACTCTTGCTTCCCAAGCATGCTGTAGACTCACTTAAACACCCTGACTTTGCTACAGAGTCTCATTGCCCAAAATAGCCTCTCAATGCAAAGAGCATCACAAATCACTAGCTAACATCAAGGACTGACTCATCTTCCCACAGAACCTACCTCAGTGGTCCAGGGGCTCACTTTTCCTCTGCACTCAAATATGCTTTCCATTATTATAGGGACCGGGTCCTATTTTCCTCCATTGATGTATACAGTTTCTTCACTGGGTTGAGCTTTAGGGTAAGGGGGTTGGGTCTTTTCATCCTCTACCTCTAGGCATGAACAGTATTTGTTTATCTAAGATCTGTCACAGATATATGATTTTTAAAAAATATTTGTGTGTGTGCACACATGCACACACACATTGTGATATGTATGTGTCCATGGAGACTAGACAAGGGATTCACATCCCGACACTAGGGGTACAGACAGCTGTCAGTTACCTGATATGGGCACTGTGAACTTAATTCAGATCCTCTGGAAGAGCATAATATGTTCTTAACCTCAGAGACATCTCTCTCATTCCATAAATGATTTTTGTTTTTGTTTTTCCCCAGAGACGGTCCTTAATTTTTTGCTTTGGGGTGGAAAAATGCCTCCTCTGGTAAAAGTGCTTCTTCATAAGCCTGAAAACCCAAACTCTATCCCCAGAACGCACATAAAAACTAGCTAAGGAAACATCTATCTAGGGTCCCAGAGCATCTAGGGAGAAATGGAAGCAAGAGACAAGAACATCCGCCCAGAGCTCCTGAAATTCACAGAAAGAAGAGAGATGCCGCCCCAGGATAAAAGGCTAAAGCAGGCTCCCAAAGTTGTCCCTCTGACTAGCACACATGGGCCCTGACATGAGTGCTCATGTGCGTGCACACACGCAGTAATACAGTTTTGGTTCGTCCGTTTGTCATTTGTTTATACTAATCATTTCTTACTAACGAAGCAGCTGTTTATTGGATGAGGATGTCATGGAAACCGACTGAGTGCCGGAAAGTGAGGCTTAGCAAAGTTTCCCATTCCCTGTCCCAGGCGAGACAGCCCCTTCTTAGAGCTGACATTTCGACATTCCTGTTTTCTCACACCCCCCACCCCGGTCTGCCTCCAACTGTGTTCACCCCACACCCCAGCAATATAAAGCTGACAACATAAGAAATCCCTGGATAATCGTGAACCCACGTGGGCCTTCTTCCTGGAGGAGGTAATGCACATGGTGGCTGGACCTACATTTGACCTCTGTCCCTCTTGCTTTGTCTTATGATCAAAGCCTTCCTGTCCCATCCTTAAAGGTGTGATGGCGGGAGTGGGGAAGGGAAGAGAAAAGGAAAACAAAGCCCAAGGATGGCATCACAGTCACATGAGGTGTCCCCAATGGCTCACTGATGTTTAGAGGCGGGGCAAGCGGTCTGCTCTAGAAGAGGGAGGGTGAGTGGTTTGCTCTAGAGGAGGGAGGGCAAGCGGTCTGCTCTAGAGGAGGGCTCAGGCCTTGGGTTCATCCACCCACCGCTATCTCCCAGAGACTCACCAGCGTTGCTCATGTTGCCATGCCCTCCCTGCCACGGATTGGCCAGGAACAGAATGTGAGCACACAGTGATCCCTCCGCAGTGTTCCATCTTGATTCCATTCTATTCCACTCCTCTCTGGCACAGCAGCCCTCAGTGTAAAGTAGATCTACCTTACTCCATCTCTGGATCGCCTTGAACAAACCAGACCCATCCTATCCTTAGTCACTCTCTGGGTGTTGAAAGCGTCTTCCAGGCCTGTCTAGGGGTCCCCTACGGCCAGCTGAGCTGTCACATTGCTGAACGTGGCCTGCACCCTTCAGCTATCCGGTCCACTTAGAGCAGTGGTTCTGGTGCTGCGAGCCTTTTGCTGTAGTGTCCTTATGCTGTGGTGATCAACACGCATAAGTTATTTTCATACTTCATAACTCTAAATTTTGCTACTGTTGTGAATCATAGTGTCGATATCTGATATTCAGGATATCTGATATGAGACCCCTGTGAAGGTTGAGAAACGCTAACTTAAAGCATCAAGTGTCTGATGTCTTGAATTCCCATCTCTGAAAGTTCATCAGGTACTTAGTTCTTATTGTCAATTACTTGTTTCTCTGTCCTTTTAAGTTATGTCTCTTTCTTTTTCTGATAGAAATGGGACATTAACATGAAAGACCCTCAGGCCTATATACATCAACGACTTTGCCAAGAACATCTTCTGAAATCCCGAGAACAGCATTGTTCAGTATCGCACCTAAGAGACATATCAAGAACAAAAAGATTTGGTACTGTTGGGCGTTTGAGGTCAGCCTGGCCTATAGTTACAGGTCAGGTGAGGCTACACGACAAGACCCCATCTGAATAGAAGCAGTAAATTTCAGGGGAAGGACACCGAAGAATGACTTCTGACTCCCACATCCCGGGGACACAGGAAGACATATACATATTTTTAAATTGAAAACATAAATTGCTATTGGTAGAAAACTTATGGAGCCCACTGGGATACCACATGTTTCCAGGGAAATTGGGATCCCTCTCAAGATGCTTAGTTCCATCAATTAAAGAATTTAAAAACAGACACAGAAGGAAGCCCAGGGACAATGATTTTCATGATTAAAAGAAAAAGCACAGTTCAGGTAAGCTAGAAGTCTCAGCATCTGTCCGGAAGAGGGGATGGGGAAGAGGAGAGAAGGCCACACCCTTTTAAGTTAGGCATGACGGTTCGGCACACAGCAAATGGGCGGTAGCGCCAGAGAGAGAATGAGAAAGACCAAAAGGCCAAAGAACACATTCTGGGGCTTTGGCTAGAGTCTAAAGCAAAGTGACAGAGGAGAGGAAGAAAAAAAATTATGTAACTGCACTGGGAGCTGGGTTTTGGGGAAGGAAAGCCCACCATCTCATTAAAGGGGTAGTTATTCCCCCATCTGTGGAGACAGAGCCCTCTTCCAGCAATCCTGACCTCCAAGCAAGGACTTTCCTAGAACTGTTGCTCCAGGGTCCCTGCCCTACCTGTGCGCTTTCTCCTGCCTGTTCTCGCTCATCAGCACCAGGACTTTTCCCTGGTAATTTTGATGATAAGGATTGGGATGAGACCCAGGGGTCTATATTATTCCCAAATACCCTGGATAATTATTGCCATCGGGCAAATATGGGAAACACTGGTGTATAAATTAAAAAGCTGAGGTCATGTCTCAGCTCTGCTGCCTGCTGGGTGTGCTTTGTACCAGGTCCTACACACAATGCTTTCCCGCAGTCTGGGTGTCACCTTCACCCAGTGCACACTGATCCTGGAGATGACAGGAGGGCGTCACCAAATATTAAGAAGAAAATTCGTAACAGATGCTTGACAAAATACCGCAAGCCTTTTGCAAAAGGGACTAATATCTTTCTTTAAAGTTTGAGTCAAGTCTGCAAACTGGATAAGGGTCTTGACTCTGGTCCTCTTCTGGGGTGGCCCCTGCTAGCTTTTAGCCTATCAGTTCACTCGTTCAATGTGTATCTATTGAGCACTCTGACAGAAGCTTTCCCACATGTTTGGATGCACCAATGCATCCAAAGTTCTCCCATCACAGAGCTGTATTCTCTATAATGATTATATTGGACCAGTCATGCCATTTTCACCCCAAGGAAACTCCGTGAGCAGTCATCACTAAAATACTACTTGGCAGGATCGTTCTCATGCCTACAGTGCTTAGCTGCCTCTTCCTAGAATCACATGCTTTTGTTTTGGGCCATTTGCCCCACCTTTCCAGAGACACCAAAGCCAGTTTTCAATTACCGCATATTCTCCCAGTCTGTCCCCTGACTGCTCCTGCTGCGAGCTCATTGCCAATGAGTGTTCATTGCTAATGCACCAACCACACGGTCTCCACTGTGGCAGTGGTTTCTGGGTCTAGGATAGATGTCCTTGTCCAAACCCTCACTGCTTGGGCTGAGAGAAAATGACTGATTCCCTTCCCCCCAACACACACAGCATGAAACAATTCCTTAAAACTCAACCAACTATTTTTCACAAGAATTAGAAGGGACTTTCAGAGACTAAATGACCAAGAGGTTTCTGAGTCTCTCTCTCTCTCTCTCTCTCTCTCTCTCTCTCTCTCTCTCTCTCTCTCTCACACACACACACACACACACACACACACACACACACACACAAGCACCCCTTATTTGTGTCCACACATCTATCAGGAAACAGATCAACACCAGGTTTCTGCATTTGATCACATTTGACTGTGTGTCTTTCCTAGTGTCTTCCTGTTCATCGTCTGTCCTTCCTTTCTTCCTCCCTCTCTCCCTCTCCCTCCTTCCTTTCCCTCCCCTCCTTCATTTATTCTTCTCTCATACTATTTTACCCAGACAGCAGTTTCCCCTTCCTCTTCCCCTCTCCTCTCCCTTAGATCCACTCCTCTTCTTTTCCCTTCAGAAAAGGCCTGGCCTCCCTGGGATATCAACTAAACTTGGCATGTCAAATTATAATAAAACTAGGCACATTCCTTCATTAAGGCTGAACCACACAACCCAGAAGGAGGAAAAGGGTTCCAAAAGCAGGCAAAAGAGTCAGAGTCACTCCCTCCCCCATCACTGTTAGGTAGTTCAATACCAATTGGAGAGCAAGTGCCTTTCCGGCTCACGTGAAGATGGTGCCCTCTGGTGGAAAGTGGGGAACACTGCACTGTTATCTTGAAACCTTTTGCTTTCAGCATTGATTAGGATTCATTAGTGCTCTTAGTGACCTTGACAAGGAGGGGAACAGAAAGATCCTTGTCAGGAATGGGAAGATTGCTCAGTGGTTAGGGGCACTTAGTGTTCTTCCAAAAGACCGAAATTCAGTACCCAGCACCTATATCAGGTGGCTCCCAACTACAGGGGCTTGATGCCTCTAGTCTCCTCAGGCACCTGCATTAACCTACGCGCGCGCGCACACACACACACACACACACACACACACACACACACACACGCACACTTAGACATAGTTAAAAATAATTTAAAAATTTTAAAAGATCCTTGTCACTCAAATAGTAAGCCTGCCAATCTCCAACTACAGTTCTTTGTGACTTTGACGTTTATGACTTTCCAGAGAAGTCAGAGACACAACAGTATCTGGGAGAATGGTCTGTTACGAGAGATGGGCTCATCAGTATTTGTCAGAAACTCCAAGTGTTCAATGTTGGACAAGTCAAAACACAGACTGGTATTGGCATCTCGTTCATCTTAGCACAGAGGTGGTATCTGAGCTCCAATATTTAGGGCTCACTTCCCAACTCTCACAGAAGACTTTCCCCCCTGTTTAGTCAAAGATACCATTGTAGATTATCTCTGAGACACAAGCAAGCACAGAATTCAGTTCATGAGATCTCTCTCTCTCTCTCTCTCTCTCTCTCTCTGTGTGTGTGTGTGTGTGTGTGTGTGTGTGATGAGATCAGATTGCAGTGAAAAGGGTTAATTTTAAATGAAAAAAAAATCCACAATGCTCTTGCATAGCACTAGAGTTTGAACCTAGGACCTTGCACATGCTGGACAAATGCTCTACCACTGAGCTACACCCTTAGCTCCCCCCCCCCATCAAACTGTCATTTGCTCCGTTGTTGCTTTGGGACTGTGTTTCATGTGGCCCAGTTGTCCTTGATCTCTTGATTCTCTTTCATTCACCCCCAGTGCTGAAAGTGCAGGCGTGTTCACCATGCCCAGTCCTGTAGTCCAGGCTGCCCTTGATCGTGGAAGCATCCCACCTCTGTCTCCTACGTGCTAGGATTACAAGGATGGATCACCATGTCTGGCTCCAAAATATGTTAATAAAAAGGGGTGAGGTCGGAGTGGGCAGAAATGAGACTTGTGCTACATTGATAGCAAAATGTGTGAAAGAAAAGTGGGTCCTGAGTCTCGCCCCTTAACCAGGGGAGGCTCAAATCCTGAGACAAAGCTTGGAAAGACATCCATGGTGTGGAGGAGTAACAAGGGACTGGGACTTGGCTGTGGCAGGCAGGAAGATGCAGAACCTTCTTAGGATGCTATAATGTCCCAATGGTCCCAGGGTTAGGAGGAAGCTAGGAGTTTCCTAAGGCATACCTATGTTTACACCAGGGTCCCTCATCTCCAGTGGAGAGGAACATTTCAGCCTAATGGTTCTACTGAGGCAGGAAAAGCCATTGTGGGTTGCTGGTCATGTGTGAGAAGTCTATGTGGTTCTGGAAGTCACCTCTCCTCTTGGCAATGGTTCAGACTTCACACACACACACCCCAAACAGGAGGAGGGGGTTCCTGACCATCTGATAACAGCTTATTTACTCTGGACACACTTTGACTTCCAAACAAGAAAACTAACTAGAAAGAATGGGTCAGAAATAGAAAACACATCTAGTTCTCCTAGAAACTAGACTAATACAAGTAACTAATTAGGAGAAAGACTTGAATGCCTTGCTCCAAGCCCACTTTGTCCTGACTAGACGTTTACTCTCTATCTGGACTAGTGAACATTCTTCACTTCATAGGCTCCTAGTGCCTAAGCTAAGCTTGACTCTCACTTCCTTGGCACCCAGCTGCAGCATTATGGAATGCAGTACGTAGCTGCCTTAGCCCTTTAAATAACATCCACCAGCAGGATTGCTGTGAGGCCGAACAAGCAAGCCATTAGACTTTATTATCCATGGAAACCAGAGAGATCAGGCAAGTCTGCTATTTGGAAACTGATTGAGATGAATCTAAGGCAATGGGAGAAGATGCTGAGGAGAAGAACCTGACCATGCCTGGGGAGTCCCCTGTGGCTGTTGGGGGTCACTGCATTCTTCCAGACCCTGAGGAGGAAGGTGCTGTTCACAAGGGTCTGACTTCTAGTCAGACAAATCACAAAGTGGAAAGAACCAGGATCAGTTCTGAGCTTCACACTGCCAAAACGACAGCCTGGATCCGGAATGAGCCTCACAGAAGTCCAGGACAAGAAACGATGAGGAGATGGTTATTATGATGGCTGAGCAAGGAGGTGCTAAGTGTGGCTTCTGATTAATGTTCTATGTGATGAAGTAAAAGATATTTACCAAAGGTTCCAAAGGTGTGGTGCCATATATTTGTTATGTTCTTACGGGTGGGGAGTGAGGGGGGAAGAGAGGAGGTGCAAAGAGGTGCAGGACAAGCAGGTGCTGTGGTTGGAGGTGGGAACAGGAGAGGGATGCAGGAAGCTAAGAGTGAAGGTCAAAGAGGGCCTTTCTTGCTTTATTCCTTTCTTTGCACCCTCAGCAAAATAGATGAAGAGAAGCCAGAGGTATACCCAACCCACCAGTCTGCTGTCTCAAGGTGGGGCACCTCTGAAGGGTGCCTGAGCCTCCTTTACGGCACCTTCCCCTCACTACTTGTCATTCAGATGTCTTGGGAGCATGCAGGGACATCAAAGCACGTGGGCGCGTCCAGGGTCAGGCATCAGCGATGAGGTAGCAATGCCACACAACGGAGCAGCCGTAGGTCCAGATCATCAAGAAGGCACCGAAGGCCACATGCCAGCAGAAGAAAGTGGTGGCAAACGCTATGTCATGTTTGTCATCGTCCATCCACTGATAGCCAGACACTGGTCTGTACAGCATGAAGCCTATCTGCATCAGCCAGGAGCCCGTGACAAGGTACAGAAAGGCCTTCAGCATCCAGATCAGCAGCACGTCGGGAGCCCACAGTTCGACCATCAGCACCAGGGTCAGCAGAAACAGGGCCTGGATGAGCAGTGTGTGCGTGCGGAGCTCCACTCCTTCTGTGTCCTGCATATGAGACACCATCAGGGGCAAAAGGAGACACATGCTCAACGCCTGGGCACCTTGCTCCAGAACTATGCACCTCTTGGGCAGCAGGTTCTGGCTGACCACGTCCACACACCCACTCAGAAAGAAGGCCGCATAAAGCGTGAGATGCTGCCACTGTTTGCGGTACATGAAGGTTCTCTGGTGATACATCTTGCTGAGAAGCATCAACTGCCAATGAATGCTATGCAACTCTTGCACTACTAAAATGCCGGAACTCAGTATCTTCAGAAAGCCAACATAATACATTTGCCGGAACCTTGCCCATCTTCCTTTGCTCCAAGGAGGGCGTGGTGGGTATTGGACAGGGGAGTTGCGTATCACAGCCCTGGAGAGAAGTCCTGCGTGATAAAGTCCATAGAGGAATAAGAACAGGCCGGGGTACAGGTGCCCCTCAAACCCTCCCATGGATTCCAAAGTAGGTGTGATCAAAGGCAGAAGCAAAAGCGAATGGGCTCTGGGACACAGAGGGAGCCTGTGCTGAAGATCACTTATAACCTCGACCCATCCCACTGCATCCACTTGAAGGAGGGAAATGGTTTTGGAGGAAACCCAAACTTAGGGTGGGGTGGGTGTCATGGTTTCCGTTACAGTCTTCTGCTCTGGTTCACTGATAACCAGCTAACCACTGACGAACAATGAAATCAACATGTCTCCAGCACAACGCTTGGTATCAGCTGTCCTCACATCCTATGACCTGGGCCTCTTGTCTCTCTGCCCACCTGTTCCTCGGTCCCTTTGCTACTTTCCTCACTTTCTTCCTGTCTTGGTCTGGTGAGGCATGCTTTGCCACAGACAGTACTTTCTCACTGTGTTCTCTCTTTGCCCAAGCATCAAGCCTGCTCTCTGGGGTCTCTTTAACTGGGGTGCCTATACCATTTTTTCCTCCACAGAGGCCTCACTTCCCAGAGGCCTCACTTCCCAATAACATCATATTATATGAACACAAGAATTTAAAAGGTGTTTTATTAGCACAAAATAATTGTACATAGTAATGTGTTTCATTACAACATCTTCATACATGCACATAACATTTCAATCATGTTAGCCCCATAATTCTTTTCTGGCTTCCTCTCACTTGAGCCAATCTCCCTTTTTCTCAACTGGCCTCATTTCTCATCTTTTTGTGTGTGCAATCCAATGAGTTCCATTAAGATTGTTTATAGGCATGCGGGGATTGCTCCACAGGAGAATGGGCATTTTTTAGTAGCTATAAAACTGAAGGAAAGGTCTCTTTCTCCACCATTAACCTATAACCCACATAAACCTTCAGGAAGGGGTGGAACCTCATGAGTCCTCCCTCTTCTGAGACAGGCTGTTGACAGGCTTGCTCTTGTGACACATGAATTTTAAGGGGAACAAACTTCTGCCCGTGACATCTCTAAACTCACAGGCTAGAAAGAACTCGTAGAAAGCATACAATATGGTATATGTTCCTTGATATTCCTTATGAAGGGCTGGGGTTGTCGCTCAGAGGACACAGTGCTTGCTTAGCAGGCATGAAGCCCTTCAAGCTAATAACTTAGTATGATTTTACTGTGAAATGTTTTCATAAAGTTAACATTTGTTTAGAATTTGGTGGTCATGTTACCCTTCATGACAGAAAACTAAATACTGGGTGCTTCTTAAGTTTTGTTTCACAAGGATCCCATAGATTGCCTTTTGACTTATCTGTTGATAAACTGTATTTTGCTGCTACTAAGAATGTTCCATTTTAGCCAGGCAGTGGTGACACACACATTTAATCCCAGCACTCAGGAGGCAGAAACTGGTGGATCCCTGTGAGTGCCAGGACATCCAGGGCTACACAGAGAAATTCTTTCAGATAGATATGTATTAGGTGGATAGATAGATAGATAGATAGATAGATAGATAGATAGATAGATAGAT